AATTTCATTTCAATTTGGCAAACCAAATGCGAATGCGAAAGGAATGCAAACCCCAAGCATAAGTGATTGGGAAACATTAAAAACCATCATTTGCAGCTTTGGTTACAAAATAAATTTTTGACAAATTGCTAAATAAATGCCAAGCGAGCTATAAGTATTTTGCAAACACACACACATATACATGTACATATGTATACTTGTATATGGAAAGAGAGCGAGGAACTGTAGAGCACTAAAACAATGACCACAATCATTATCTTGCTTGGCTGCTGGCTGTTCGGCAGCCAGTAACCCAAAACGGAGTAACGACTCCTGGCCTGAAAACGACTTGAAATGACTTTGGCAAATAGTAGCAGACTATTTAATACGCTATTACGCAGCATATCGAATGACAGGCAGCACATTCCCAGCCCCCGGAATGGATTGACAACGAACCACCACCAGCACCATCATCCCAGAAGCAGAAGCGAAACGAGCGACTGCCTCATTAGTTAACATATGTTGCCAACATTCACAAACACACACACACACACACAACCCTGCGACCCACACACACACACACACACGCAACCATACAAACAACAGCTTGTCCTCATTGCCAAAGTCAATTTTCGTTGAAAAGGGGCCGACTTCCAATCTGGCTGCCACACTTGGCCAAAGCAATTTGTAGCAATCCGAGCTCCGTTCAGTTTCTCGCTTCTCCGGGTGGTTTATAAAAACTTGCAACAAATGTCCGCGTTATGGTGCGGCAGCGTGTCAGAAAAATGTGTTACTCATCTCCCATCGCCCCGTAACATAAAAGAGAAGAAGAGTCTTTAGTAAACATTTTGCGAGAGTAAATACACCATTTAGGCATTTAAGGGCACTGCCATAAGTTTTCCGTTTTGTCCAAAGCTGTTGAAAGGCTTATTACAGAGACTAGAAATATTCAAATATGAATAAATTGAATACAAATACAAATTAAGTCCCAATCAGTAAAAAAAAAAAACATTTATTCCAAACAATTTCAAAAATAATTTTAAACTGTATTTTTGTAAATAACTTATTGAAATGAAAGCCTTAAAAAGAAATGTAAGCATTTTAATTAAAAAAAAAAAATATATATATATATATATATATATATATATATATATATATATATATATATATATATATATATATATATATATATATATATATAAACTTAAAAGATAAAGAAGAACATATGAGATAAAAATATACAACTTTACTCTACTTGGAACAGATTTTTTTTCGAAGTTTTCTTTTTATAGCCTGTACCCGTAGGGTAAAAAGGGTAAAAAGGTAAAAAGGTTTGTGAAAAGTATGTAACATGCAGAAGGAAGAATCTCCGACCCCATAAAGTATATATATTCTGAATCAGCATGACGAAAGAACTCGATCTAAACATGTCCGTCCGTCTGTCTGTCTGTCCGTCTGCCTGGATGAACGCAAGGATCTCAGAAACTATAAAAGCTAGAATAACCAAAGTTGGCATCCAGATTCTCCTAGGTCCGAGAAAGGACGAGTTTATTTTTTTCTTTGATTAATTTAATTTTTTTAATTCATTGAGCTATGCTAGGCCTCACAGATTTTATAAAATCAAAACAATGCAAACTATTACCACCGACTGAAGCCTCTTGGGTGGCTGAAAATGTATGCATAAATGATGTTATTAAATGGCCATATAAACAATTTAAGCAGTTTTGCATTTTGCAAATTTCCATGTTCAACAATTATTATGCGAGCGAGGACAAGCGCAATATTTGTAAACAAGTTAGAGATGAAAAAAGTGATATTAAATAAAACAGAGCTCAGTGTTTTGTAATTTCTGTTTACATTTAGCCGCCCAGTTCCGATTAATCCGCACAGACGGGTGTGTCCGTGTGGTTGCTCTATTAAGTGGTGCTCATTATTTGTGCCGTTAGTTGGCGCATGTGGCAATCGGAAATCTCGTAATTCTATTGACAGTTTGTTAGATTCTTGACCCGCCTGGTTAGAAATAATTGCGGGCCGCCATTTCAAAATTAAATGGTTGGCAGGTTTACCCAATAATTACAAATTACTTCAATGACATGCCGTAAGCAGAAAGGCGAGCAACTAATTACGTCACACGGTGGCTATTGCGAGTATTATTAGTGCACTAATTTATTGTACAACGATCAGAGAAGGCCGTTTGTGTCGGCTTGCGATGGGGTCCGCTAATTATATATTACTTACATATTATGTACGAGTATATACTTGTACTACTATATAAGTTTTATATTCAATATCCAGTTAATGGGCTTTTAAAAACCCGCACAGACAACATTTTTCGGTGGTTCGATGTTTTGTGCGCGATTCGTGTGCGTTTTGTGGAAGCATGGACTAAAAGGCTAACTACAAATAAAAATTAAAAAATCAGCGGCCAAGCAAACATTATATTTTCAAGATCTCATTAAGTTGGGCCAAAATTCCTGAAATGCTTAACCGGAGAGAGCGGGCGAGGTCGAAAGTTGGCGAGGCGCGCACTAAACTGCACGCTTTATAATTAATTTCCATCAAAAACAGACGACAACGAATCCGGACGCCGGCAATAGAGCAACAACAACAATAACAAGAAGAACAGGAGGCGGAAAAGGACGAGGACGAGGACGTCTGTTGGCAGCCCAACCAAGCAAGCTAATAGGGCGGGGGCTATAATCATTAATCTTATCGCCGCCTGAGCTTATTATTTCAATTGCTCTCTAGGGTGGGCTGTGGGTGTTGGGTGTTGGGTGGTGGCTGGCGTCTGATGGGGTGGTGTGGTGGCCAGACGCTGAAAAACTCATTGACCGGAAGTAAGTAAAACAGCAAAGAAAAGAAACGCCTGGCACGTGGCCCAAGCGAGAAGGCTGCACAAATCTGCGGTTAATCGCTTGTTCAACATGTCAGCGATTTCTTGTTGCATGTTTATATATTTATAAGGTCGGGCATTACGGTAGCAAGATGGGGGGAGGGCGAGTGGGGGGTGAGTGATAATTGTTGTTGCTCTCGAGTCAATTTTACGCATCAATTCGCTTTAAAATGTTCGCATTAAGTTACTTCTAATTACTATTTGGTGTGGTTGTGGGTGTGGGTGCGTGTTTCCCATGAATTGTTGCAAATTGTTTTGTTTGCTACAAAGTGCGAGTGTCCTGCTGTGTCATACACACACACACACACACACACACATAAGCACATGGAGAGTGTAAACACCCACTGCATAATAACTCAAAAACAGTCACAGCCATGGACCGGAATTCGCTGAATCCGGACCCGGGCTGGGATCGGGACCGGGACCGGCAGCGTCGTTGCAATTTGCTTCAAGTGTCTACGAAATGTTGCCGCCTTGCTTGCCTGTCATCTGCAGCCAGTCGGACAAGGCTGCATGCCACACACACATACACACACACACACACACACACTAACACCCATTCACACACACTCAGTTGGAGAAATTACAGCTTTTGCTGGACCAACTTTTTCGATTGTTCCACCTACAGTGGAATAAAATGTTATTAATTTACAAAAAAATTCATTCATTTTTTATTTATTTATTTATTTATATATTTATTTATTTATTTATTACTTTTTTACTTATTTATTTACTTATTTATTTATTTATTTATTTATTTATTTATGTATTTATTTATTTATTTATATATTTATTTAATTATTTATTTATTTATTTATTTATTACTTTTTTACTTATTTATTTACTTATTTATTTATTTACTTATTTATTTATTTACTTATTTATTTACTTATTTATTTATTTATTTATTTATTTATTAACTTATGCTAGCGTTTCAAGTACAAGATTACTTTTAAGCTACTACGCTAATCACTACATATTTATTTCCAGATTAATTCAGCTTAATTTAAATTAGTTACAAAATTTGATTTAATTTTATTTGACGTTCCACATTTCAATTATTAAAGCTTTTCGGACTCTTAAAGAAATCGAAAATAGCTTTTTCAAATAAGAAAGCGGAATCAGAAAATAAATTGATATATTAAGACACAATCGATTGTTTTACTCAATACACATATTACAAATGAACTTGTTTCATATTCTTCTGATGTCTTCATACTTGTAAGCAATCAAGTTTTTCATACGAAAGGCCTTTTAAATCTGAACGTTTTCACGACAGTCCGATTCTTCGCAAACTCTGCACTATTACTTTTTTATTTATTTCTTTAGTAAATCAATAAATAGTGCTATAATATTATAAAATAAATTAAAGACATAATAACGTCTACTAAACCAACATATTTTTCAAAGTCCAATTTTCTTCTGATATCTTCTGAGGACTAATTAGCACGTTTTTGTTTCAATTGCCTTATAGAGTATAAAACGTTTAAGCAACCATTTGGAGATAAGTGAAATAAATGGCAGAATAAATGAAAACTCTGTTTTTAAAATGGCATTAAAGACCGTTTAACAGAGCAAAAGCGGTGGTTGCTCCGCTTTAAATTTTTGAAACTATTAAAATGGATGGATGATATTAAATGCTTACACATATCACTTGGACCGTTTTGATAGATCTTAATTGATTCCCTTACCCCTAACGCCAATGCCACTGTGCACTGCCCTCATTGCCTTCTGGCTCTAATCAATTTGTAACCGTTTAGAGAAATGTCTCTAATTTGCATTTATTATGGATATGCGTGCGTCCACGTCTGTTGCTGGCACTGCAGTTCAAACTTTTTGTCATGGCCACGCCCACACATACACCCTTACGTTTGCCACACTTTTGGGGTTGCCGGAAAAGTTTTGCCTTCGCAAACCCAAAAGTTGTTGACCAGAATTGTTTTGCTGTTGACTATGAATTTATCTGAGGCCGCTGTTGTGCCTGTGGCCATGAAAACTTTTTCGGCCAGTCGGCGCAACTTTTCAGGCTCCGTCTGCAGCAGACAGCCATCAATCCATCCATCCATCCATCCATCCATCTGTCCAAGGATTTTCAATTTACTGATGCCGCCCCTTTTTTCGTTTGCAGGTGAAAATATGGTTTCAAAATCGCCGCATGAAGTGGCGCAACTCTAAGGAACGCGAACTGCTAGCCAGCGGCGGCTCTCGAGACCAGACGCTGCCCAATAAGAATAATCCAAATCCGGACTTGTCCGATGCCAAATGCGATCGTCCGCTGACGCCGCTATCGCCCGCCCCGCTCTCGCCCAACGGCGGCAGCAACGGCACAACACCGCCCCCAGTGACGTCCCATATCAGCAAGGACGAGGCAGCTGTCACACCCAAATCACCGCAATCTGCCAGCAGCAGCTCGCCAGTGGCTGGCGCCCATGCACCACCCAGTATTGGCAACCACCCGGCTAACAACTACGGCATGCAAATCAGCTCGCCACCGCCCCTGCTGACCAGCATTAAGCTGAGCGATCAATCAGCCACACCCACGCCAACGCCAACAGTCTCCTCGGCGGCCTCATCGCCGCCCAGCGGTGCCGGTGGTGGTGGTGGTGGTGGCTCATTGCTGAGCGCCGACTTTCAGGCCAAGGTGAATGCCGAAATGCAGAAGCAATTGGTGGCCGCCGATCTTAAATTCAAACTGGAGAGCACCATCCAGGAGGCGAAACAGCGACGCTTCGAACAGCTGCAGCTACATGCACCACACTTCATGGGTGGTGCAGCGGCCATGCGAGAGGTAGAACTAGCTGCCGCAGCAGCGGCCGCCCAACTCCATCACCACCACCAGCAGCAGCAGCACCAGCAGCACCAGCAGCAACAACAACAACAACAACAGCCACCGCCGCACTTTCAGGGCGCCGAGTTCATGAAGCTCTATTACGACGACTACGACGAGTCCAATTCGGACAGCGATGAGGAAATCAGCGTGACGTGATTTTCAGGCCATTGAGCAGCTATTGGGGGCCCACTGTACATACCTGTGTCTACATACTATATAATACGAATAAAGAAGATTCTTATCCATTTGAATTGTACATTAAATTGTAAACTTATTTAATTCATTATTGTATTATTACAAGTATATATTTAATATGTAATGTCAACGTTCAATGCAACAATAATGCGAATGCGTTGTTGTTGTTGTTGTTGTGGTTGCATCCACAATTCAGTCAGTCTGTGTGTGTGTGCATATTTTTTCGAATTTAAATTCCAAAAATAAACGTCTTTCAAAAATTAACACAAACGATTTTTAAATTTCATTTCAACTTTACAGCACACTTTCTGGGAGGTTATTCACCACATGGTAAGTACATATACGGTTCGTGTATTTGCTAAGCCAGCAGCCCACTAGTGATGGGTAATTATAATAAAATATTACTTCTTCGTGGATTGGAGCTGAACCGGAAACATAAATCCAGCCCTTGTTAAAAATTAAAGAATTCAAGTTCGGAGACGATATTTGATTTATTTATGTATATATATTCGAGGTGAATCAATAAGTTCACTTGTTTTACGTTACACGGGACTCGCTTTTAGCGTCGAAAGAAGAATAATCGATTCGTAATTCATTCTTTATTCTTGGATTTTAAAAGTGAAAAATATTCACTCGCCTGACCTAGCACACTGCGCCTTATTTTCTGTTCCCTAATATAAAAACATGGCGGAAAAAGAATTCAGCTCAATTGAAGAGATTATCGAGGTTTTGATAGTATGAAAAAATCATACTTTTTTAGAGTAAGTCTCTCAGTATGAAGTCATCTTAATAATTTAAGGTTCACAATTTTTTCATTTGGTAAAATTTATTAAGGTTTCATTAAATAGTATTTATAAATGTTTTCGTCACACACTTGCTGGTAATGTGCTGCAGGAACCTAAGACTAACATAAATTCGTCAACATTTGTGGAAATTTCAACCAACATTGATTGCTTATACGAGTAGATAGTAATAAAAATTATTACAAACGCTTTTAAGAAATACTGTCAGCGAGTGCCAAACACTCAGGTTGGCCCGACTTTGGCTTACGAACTATATACATACACATATATACATATATAGAATTATCACTCTTTCGATTAAACTAGACAGTTAGATTCGCATCTTGTCGTTTGTTTTTTGTTTGTTTTGTTTTTTGTTTTGGCCTACAAACTACTTAGATCTTTGTACATAGAGGTTAAAAATTGGTGAGGACATTATACAAGTACGAGTATATGCGCCTACTCATCATCGATACGTATGGCAAGATTCAAATGTCCCTTGGCCTCAGTGCTGGAATTCTCAACCGGTTCGCTCTGATGAGCCAGCGTTACAGGCTGCGCTGGTGTTGACAATACCGGGGACTCGCTCTTAAAAACATCCGGCGATACGGCCAAGTTATCAATGCCCTTGCCCGTGATCTTGAGCACATTGCGGCGTTGAATGGCATCGATGATCAGGGAAATGAGCCAGCCCAGGAAGACTGTAAGCAGGCAGCCAATCATGCTGTACCACATATAGCTCAAGTGGAAAATGGGCCAGGAACTGTCGAAAGAGAAAGCAAAAGTTAAATGAAAATCAAGCATAAGAGATCTATAAAGCTAAAGATTACTTACGTGAAGCCACTCTCCTTCGCCGGCAGGGGGGACATTTTTTCCGTAAGCAGATTCTCAATCAGACCCGTCACATTCACACGGCAATTACACTCCCCGATGGACAGTGGCAAGGCAGGCTCCTCCACGCTGCTGATCTGCGCCACCACGCCCACAAAGATGACGAGAGCCAGCGAGAGCAAGCCGCCATAGAAGGCACCTTTGGTATTGGCCTGCTTGCAGGCAATGCCCAACACAAAGAGACCCAAAGTGACGCCTCCAATCAGGCCATTCAGTGTGAGTGTGGCTTGAAGGACGCCACCCAGATGCTCCACGATGAACACCAAACCGAAGGAGGCAATGCCAAAGCCTAGGGACATCCACTTGGCATAGGTCGCACCCTTTTCGGGAGATATTTTGATGTTCATGCCATTGACCAGCAGATCCTCGCAAGTGACGGCCGACAGCGAATTCAGGGCAGAGGCAACGGTCCTGTAAGGCCATAAGCCAGCTATAGAATTTATGAAACCTCTCAACATTCCCGCAAAACTCACCCCAAGCTGGCGGCAAAGATTCCAGCTACAAAAATGCCCGCCACAGTAGAAATATGTTCGTAGGTGCTGATTACATAGAAGGGCAACAGCTGATCCGAGGCGGTAATGCGACCCACAGTCAAAGGATCGCAGCCTGCATAGTTTGTGAAGACCATGAGGCCGGTGTAGAAGTTGAGCAGAAACACAGCAATGAGGCCCAGGATGGCGAACCCCAAGGCTATCTTGGCCAATCTCAGCGATTTCAGGGACATGCATTTCTGCACGGACGCCTGATTGGTGCAGAAGAGCGATGTCCAGTAGAAGAAGCCGCCAATGACCACAGACCAGACGGTGTGACGTGTGGTGGGGTTGGCATCAAAGCTGTTAGTTACAAGTATGAAGAAAAAGAACTTGTTAAAAATCCGATCAGTCGTTAATGAAGCCGCAACCTACTTGAAAAACTCCAAACGGTCGTGCTCGGCAGCTGCTGTAAAGATCTGTACAGGAGTTCCACTATAGTAGGTACCCAAGCCCACAATCAGGACCAACGACACCGCCAGGACAGCAGCCTAGAAGATAGTCTAAAATTATACCCTCCTGTCTATTGAATTATCGGGCTAAGCCTCACCTGGAACGAGTCGGCAATGACCACAGCCTTCATGCCACCCTGTGAGGAGTAGAAGACACATACGACATAAATCAGGATGACGGCAATTTTGGTGTCCAATCCAGTAGCCTTAGACAGAGCAATGGCGGGCGCCAACACGGCGACAGCGGTATAAAAGCACATCTGAAATCGAAGGGCAGAACTTAGTAGAGATCCGAAAATATCATTGAACCAACCACAAACCTACCTGTATTACGTAAAGCACAGCGCCAAGTATGCGAATCTCCTTGCCGAAACGAATGCCGAGGTACTCATAACAGCTGGTCAGTTCCATTTTGAAGTAGATGGGATAGAAAATCTTGACAGCCACCGGTATGACCATTATCATCGGGAGGACAATGAGCACGAACTGTGTACCCTGGAAGTACATTTCAGAGGGGTTGCCGAGCAGCTCAATAGCCGTGATGAAGCTGGTGGTTAGACTCAGAGTAACCGGAAAGATGCTCATCTCGGAGCCGAGTAGAAACTCATTCGAGGAGCTGCCACCCTTCTGGAAGAAGCCATAGAAAATGCCAATGCCCAAGGAAATGGCCAGCATGGAGAGCAGGATGACATAATCGAACCCGGAGAACGTAGCCTTGTGCTTGGGCTCGCTGCACTCCTCCAGCCCATCTGCGGCAGCCTTCTGCTGAGCCTTGAACGATTGCAGTAGCATTGTCGCCGCATTGTTGAACACCAAATGCTCCTCGGAGGCATCAGATGCGGGCGAGCCGGACTCGCCACGAACAACAAGATACTTCTGCTCCGGCGAAATGGGCACAGAGACGGGTCCTTGGGAGCTCAGAGCATGAGCGTTTATAGAATGCGCCAAAGCGCAAAGGGTCAGCAATTTCAAAATGGTAGCCTCTGTAGCGAACATGTTGAGAGCTCTTAATACACGGCCCAACTATTTCTCTGGTAGTCAAGTTGTAGTAGGTAGGAATGTCCTAAGTTGGCTTTAGTTGTGTGTGTGTGTGTGTGTGTGTAGTAGAGAGTATTTGCGGACGGCCTTTAATTTACATCTCACAACGGTTGTGGAACCTGCAATTGGATCGGTAGAGAGTAAATACAATTGTAAGATCAAGGTTGCAGTTGATTTGGCGAAATGAGCCGAGGCGGCAATGAAGTGAAATTACAAAGGCGTGCACACCCAAACGTCTTATACGTGTATATAGTCCGTCTATACAAGTATGTTTGGTGTCATTAATCAATTAAAATGGGAGCTGTATCTGTTCGTTTAACGGCAATGGCCAGTTGACGACGCCGCGGTTCAAGTACAAATGTATTATTTCCTTAAACAAACAATTCCATTTAAGTGTAATTTAATTGTTTATCGTTTTATTAATATTATTATTTTCTTCTTGCTTCTGGATGTTTATTCATCAATGTGGCAGATTCATGTAGTCGTCCAATGTCAGGGTAAGCTCTCTGCCTGCTCCGCAACATATGTACTTCGGGCATCTTCTGAAGATCAATGACAAACGACTGTTCCTGAGTCACATTCTGAAGAGTACTTTCTTGAAGAAACTTTTCATAACTTTCTTTCTTTCTTTTCTGAAAACTTTGACTTTGACTTTCACATTCTCTGTTTTTACTTTTAGATTCATTAAAGATTATTATTAAATATCTAGGTTTTTCTTACTTTTAGACACATCATTTTTCTTTCAGTAATGAGCGATAAGTAAAGAATGTTCGAAATGATTTCACAATTTTTTTATTTAACGCAAATTTAGTTCCGATAGATTATAATATCAATAAAGAACCAATAAATCTATTTTATTTAATTTGCGAGTATTTCTTTTTTCAGACGCGAGGTATATTTCTAGTATCGATGACTAAAATAAAAAAAGTTGTAATGCAATATAATCTTTTTTTTTTTAAATTTATCTACGAATATAAAAATATATCTCAAATGTAAAGCTATAAAATTCTAGAGCAAACGCTAATGTATTTTACCGATATTTATTTATTTATTTATTTATTTGAAAAAGTCTAAATTTGTATCATATTTAGAGAAACGTTTCTGACAAATTGTTTAACAGATTCGGAAAATATTTATTTGTTATCAATTAGTTACATCATCTATAACATCTTTATTTTATTTGTATTTGAAAGCTATCGGATACTTTTTGGAAATTTTCCAATCGCTTTCAAATGGAATCCAACACACAATAGAATACAGAAAATTGATGACATCGAATCGTTTAAACGACCCAGCAGTTATGCACAGATCTCGCATATCGATAGCCACCCATTCAAATATATTAACTATACCCAGGGTGAAGAAACTTTAGACATTGGGGCAGTGGTGCATCATAGAGACATTCCAGGTCTCCGACAGTTAATGAACATTCAAAGTGCAACCATGACGAGAACGGCGATTCTGAAACTATCAGTCGAAGAGCAAGAGCAGCAGCTCCTGGGACGCTCACACATACACACACAGAGCACTGTGGGCGACTCGCCTAATTCAGATTTAAGCGAATTTAACTGGTTTATGTCAGACATTGGCGATTCGTACCGGATTGCGCCGGTTTGGTTGAGAAAGCGAGAGAAGGGAATTACAACTTGGCCAAGAGCTAAGAGCTGTACAAGAGCTGGTCAAGAGCGAAGAGAGCCAGCCAAGCATGGCCAAAGGTTGCCCTTACGGCTTACGGCTTAAGGCCAGCCAGCCGGCTAGCCTGACTGACTGACTACAAATTGGCTGATAAGCCAAAGAGAGAGGCCCCCATTTATGGGTGTCTCTCTGTGTGAGGCACGCGCCTTCCACTTAATTGCTGGGCTCTGCCGCAGTCTCGCTTGTAACTGTGATTGTAGACCCCCGCCACTTCCCTCATCCACCACCTCATCCTATCACTTTACAGTGTTTGGACATCTTTGCGAGCTCGCCAATTGATGTGCGCGTTTTTCCTTCTTTATCGTTTCGCCTCTTGTGACTTTTATTATTGTTATTATTAATTATTATTAATAAAAGCAAAAACAAAGCAGCCAAACTGTCATATTGAGTTTAGTTTCTTTGCGCTTTATTGCTTCAGAATTTATTACAGACATTGTTGCAGACATTGTAGGGCTTACCCAAGCATCGACGCTTCCCCATTTAAATTATGGCATACATCGATCATTCACATACTACTACTATAGTATGTATTATATGCCTGGGCTTTACATCACTTCACAAAATTACTCGTTCTCACTCGTTCTCCGTTGAAACAATTACAGCTGGGCAGCTGCCAAAATATTTATAAATCAACAACCTAACTCAACAAATTTGTAAATACCCTATACTACCTACAAGTAGTGAAAGGTACTATACTATACTAAATGCTTAGTTTACGAAAAAGTCTCAATGTATTTAATATACGGGATGAATCGCTAGTAACACCTTCGCCCGTTTGTTTGTCTGTATGAACATCCAGAACTTTTGAATGATAAAGGAACACCAAACTTGCTATGCAGACTTGTCCTATTCATGTGTAAAACAAGCTTATTTCGGACCATACATACATACATAGCTGACATAGGAGTGTTCAGTGCAAAAATCGCTTTATTAACATGCCTCAAACAAATATATCTTCGATGAGTTTTTTTAGAAGAGTAGAGTAGAATTGTTTAACTGAATTATACAGCTCTCATGGGAATGATTGCGAAATGGGCGCGCTTAGGGTATACAAAAGTCGAACATGTCCAATTTTAACGTTGTGCTAGTTTTTATTTTCAATCAGTCGCTGCAACTGTTAACTTTTTCCTATAAACTTATTTAGTTCAAAAGCCCACACATGTGCTCTTGTTTCTCAGTACATAACTTTTATTTCTAGAAAACTAATTACAGTTCACGTTTGTATTATCAACTGTCTGATTAACTCTATCCAGGTAATACGTAATAGCCTTGGTTAGCATAGAGTATTCGTATTTGTATTTTAAAAGCACTGCCAAGCTACTGAATTGGGTCGTGAGCTCGAAAGACGGTGTTACTATTGGATTTAATAGACTTCGTTGTTAATTAAAGAATTAATATAAAACCAGAGTATCCATGGTTTAACTTAAAGCAAGAAATTAATTTTCCATATAAAATTTATAAAATATAAATATTAATAGGGATGATGAATCTTAGCTTAAAAAGTGTCAATTTTTTTCACGAGCACAAGTACAATTTTCAGGCAGTCAGTATTATTATTATTATTATACGTACAAGTATATTAAAATACGAAAGCTGGAAAATAGAATGTTGATAATGAACGAAAACAATAAAAAGGAATAGGTATTTAAGTGTGATTAGAAGTGGAACCTTTCCAAAAGAAAAAAACAAATGAGTCAGACTTTGTTTTATTTATGTATGGATGCGAAAAAATTTGTGTACTTCTTTTCAGCAAGCTTTCATCTTTAACTAAATAAGACAGTAGACAATGATTATTTTGTATGAATTCTTCTCGTGATGCTGCTTCAAAATATGATCTGTTACCATTCTTCTTCAACTGTTTCTTTAAACCTTTCGATTCTCCCTATACTTGTTTCTTTTCTGAACTCTCTCTAACTAGAGCATGATTAATAAAAGAATATGGATATACTTGTGTGTATATCAATTATTTTTGTGATGCTGTGTCTAAGATCTGTTTCTGTCAAAATTGTTCATTAATTCTATATTCCTTTAATTCCTCATTAGGGGCGCAATCAAAGCCTTTTAGAGCTACTAGTCTCCAGAACTGTTGGGTATTTTTCTCATTAGAATGGCCGCTAATTTCCTAAGAAACGAATAAGAATTCTAGCTTCGTGATTTTTTATAAGCAATTAATACCTAGTAATTAGAGCCTGAGTCTCAGAAAACGGTACGATTTATGCGCTAATTTAGCTAATTTTTGTCATATTATTTTTAAAGGCAATAAACTAATTAAATTTGTTTACAGTTTTTCGAGTTTGTAATGCATTGTAATAAGCGATGGAAGCAAAGATATTAGTAACAATTATTTATTACAAACTATGTGCTCCGATTCTGAATGAGAAAACGCATAAACATGATTATCATTTTATAATAAATAAAGTTGAACAATGGAACAGGAAGTCTAACAAAATATCTAAATATAGAACGAAACACTTTCCCGCAATTTTTCATTTTAGAGATAATTTGTTTATTATAAAGGGAAGCTCAAATGTTATTTAATTGTTTATTTAATTGTTTGTATTTCAGCTTACCTCAAAAAAATATTTTCAATTGCTTCGCTTTTAGAAAACTATTCGTTTCCGGTGTCGTCTTGTTTTAATTTTCGTTGAATTTCATACAAGATGTGCGCAAAAATGTTCGAAATTGTATTTGCAGGATTGTGCCCCGATTAGTTCTGTATTTCATTAACGTGTTTTCAAATTAAGAACAAAACAAAACTTTCACTTCACTGCGAAGGACACCAATTAGCATTTGTATTAATGCTATTTTATATTGTCTTGGTCCTTGATTTTTTCTTTAATTTTTGTTTATTTTATTTATTGCAAGTATTTCTGCTTGTTAAGTATTTGATTTGATTTTATTGAGCACTTTCCAGCGGTTCGAGCGTGTTGACAGTTTTCGAATGAATGACTTTTGCAAGCTGGGGCTCGACGCTTTTATATAGCCGCGTTTACAGCGCTCGATCAGCGGCAGCAGCAAAATCGGAGCGCTGGACCATACCGACTACGAGTTGCGGTTTCTTCGCCGTCCAAAGAGACGCAACACGTCTAAAAAGAGCGCGGTCTTAGCTTTGACAGCGACGTCGGCGTCGACGTGGACGTCGACTTGCACGCCGGATATGCGATCGAACGAGAGAGAGAAACTGACAAACGAGATCTGTGGCTTACAAGGTCTAGATCTAGAGTCCCAGACGTCAGCAGCAAATAAACAAATGTGTTTGTTGACGTTTTTGCAAATTGTTGCCAAAATACTAGCAGATCGTCATGGTTTCAAAAAAAAAAAAAGCACCAAAAATTATCGCTCTTTATAAGATAACACGATTTTTATTCATTTTCGCGTCTGCTTCATTATTTACGCAAATTTCTGTATTAATTTGAATTAAATTGGTGCTTAACTTTTTATAATACTGGTTTCTCTGATTTTTTAAACCACTGCGACTAACTTTCGTGGGTCTTGGGCATTATTTAAGATACTGGTTTGTCAGAAAAATATTCAATAAGGAAAAAAAATTTGATTCATGTATTTAGTTAGACAGAGATTTCAATTAGATTTGCCTTGCATTTTAACCCAAAAAAGTACCTAACTGAGTTAAAAGAGAAAATTAATTGCAATGTTCAGTTGCTAATTAGTTGACTCTACGTCTGTCTCAAGTCTGTCCGGCATGGAATATTTTATGGAAATTTTAGCGGCTAGTTAGCATAATGTTTCCCACGTGCAGCCTAAATACAAGTATGTTTAACGATATTTGAATTTTAAAACACACGCGAGTATAGTATAAACAAACAATTAGTTGAGACGTCATGTAATTCCCTTTAGATGAAATATTGTAAGTAAATTGGAATTTGAAAACAAACACATAAACTGATTTGATTAAAAGGATGTAGTTATAGAATTGTCTCAAGACATTGGTAAAACAAACTATGCAGCATTTTCAAAAAATTTTAGTAACACAAATTGGGCATCTTCTTAAAACTTATCAGGCTACAAGAAATAAGCTCTATTTTCATATTAATTCAGACCCACATATATTGCAAAAGACTTTGAGAATTGAGATTTCGTCACTAGCCTAGACTGCATGCCCCTGCAGCGCGTGCAATGATTTATAAGGCAATCAAGGCTCATGAGTTATGAAGGGACTTGTAGATAATACCGGAGACAACTTCTTCGAGCCAGGCCAAAGGCATCGATTGAACACACAACGGCCTAATTAAAGCCACACACACAAACATGTATAGAACCTGAAACAAACACGCATTTGTGCATGAAACTATTTGCGAATTTCGCCAATATTGAGTGTTTTGTGTGCACATTAAATAAAATGCGTTGTAAACAATATTTTAATTGTTTGGCAACAAAATAAGCAAAGTTATGGTTTGCGTGTTTATTTATTTTATTTTCTTGTTTCGTTGCTCGTTCCCTTTGTTAAAACTTTAAGTAACCGAACGAACTGACTCGACGAGACAAAAAATTGCGTCAATTAATTTTCCCTGTTTACGATTTTTATCTTTTTTTCGCCGCTTCAATTGTCATTGTCGGGGAGCTTTCGTTGTTACGGAATGTTTAGGCGCACAGGCTTATAAATTTACTTGGATAACGATATCGGGTTCGATCTGGTATGATTTTGATCGGGCACGACTTTCACGCAAGTCCCTCCCAGCTAATAGAAAATTATTTGTTTACAGTTCATTGTTGTGGCTCTGCAAAAATGTGATGAGTGTTTAATTAAAATGTATTAGAAATATATTTTCTTTTTGAATTGGGAGCATTTGTCAACGGCAGCGGACAGCTCAAATGTTTTTTGCTGCCTTCTTACACAAATGGTCGATGACAATAAATTCATATTTAAGTTTAAGATGAAATGTCTCAGCCAAGCGGTCTCCACCGATACACGTGCACGGGGCGTATGCGTAATAAAAGTCTAGCAGCAGATTTTTAGATAAGAAATGCGTGAATTTTACTGGCAATGTGATAAGGGGAAGCTTTTGCAACACTTTATAATCTTAAAAAATGGTTGTTGAGTTAAAATCAAACCGTTATTTATACACAAAAATAACTTGTAGCGTTAATCAAAAAGTATACAATTTTGTATTATTTAAGCATTAGCATAGCAAACAAAAATTGTTTAAATATATATACTTATATTTACTTATAACTTTGTCATTAGTGAACCGATTGACTTGAGTAGACCAGTGTTGAAAACCTCAGTTCAAGAAATTGTACAGAACCAAATTAAATAAAAATATCTCATACTTGAAAATCGGTTGTTTATTTTCAAAGATATTCAATGTTTACATACCGACATAAAAGGTGGCGCACCCTGTATGTATATCCTCTGTCTTGAATCAAAACCCATTAGATTGAATCACGTTACGTTTTTTTTTAAATTATTTTCGTAAATCCTGCTGAAGGTTTAAGAAAAATTAAAATTTTTCTCACTTATTCTACTTATTAAAAAATTTACTTAGCCTCGGAATCAAAACCAGTAGAATGATGAAGACGTGCCAGCCCGCCTCTTGAATACCCTGCACCTACCATTTTCTCCGCTACAGCCTTCCAACTAAAATAAGCTTGGTTGCACCAATCATTTCAATGACAGGAATATAATATAATCCAAACGGTTCTAGGATTGTCAAAACTTCTTGCAAATTTAAAACTTTTGAGAAATAAAAGTCTTATTTCAATCGCTTTCGAACTTAGATTCCGAACTTAGTAAACATTAATCTTTTTCAGCAAAGTAGCTGATTTATACCAAGTGTTATACAACAGTTAAGGTCTTTAGATGGAGGAAAGAAAATCTCAGAGGATAGTTGTAATAACTATTGTGTAATTATTATTCCATTTTTATTCTTCCACGTGCATTGTGTAAAAGCACAAAACAAAAATGCATAGCTGTACTATTTATGAAAACAAATTGCAATGCAAATCAAGTAAATATCTAAAATGTATTGCATTAATTACAAAGACGCGAAGTAATGGTCTAAAGTCAATTGAGGTGCAACCAGCCACTCAGTTTTAAAACCAACCAAAAGCAGTTTAAAGCAGTTCCATAAATGCGACGCTGCGATTTAGGCCTAAAGCAACAAAAAAGTTATTACACTCCTACGTCACAAACTGGTCGTGAAGTCTCGAAGAGATTACATATGTCAGCTTAACAATAACAAAAACTAAAAATATTTTAAAAAGGAGAAAATATACTATATATAAATTCTTTCAAAAACAATGGAGGGTCTATAAATTCGACTTTGCCGATAATAACTTTTGAATTCGTCCATTTTTGCGTTGCTCTATTTTTCTGCATTATACAAGCCAAATACGTTCAACGTTTTGTTTTGGAAAAGAAAGCGATACTTATAATTGACAATTACCTCAACGATTAATGAAAGTGGGCGTTAAATTGGCATGAAGAATGCCGCTCCGTTAAATATAGCATTAATTAAGTGCCTATGCATATTGACTGCCAACTGCTCTGAGTACTAGATAAATATCTCTAACACTTATGTTAAGTCATCAGGTAATAAAAATGTAGTTAAATATTTTCAAATTTGTTTTCATTTGTCTATAAATTGCAATTCATTTGACATCTGTAAAAAAAACAAACACCTAAGCTTTTTAATCGGAAATACCGATAGTAAAGGTATTCTTTACTACAAATCATAAAATTGAAGCTTTAATATATATTTAAAAAAAAGGCCCATTAATTCCTTTTTTGAATAGAAAAAATAGAATGATATTGTCAATAATTTATTGTAACCCTTATTGGTGCTCCATTCATAATTTGAGCGACAAACCGCAAACTATAATTTAACTTTGTGGCAACACTCTTGCACTTATTCGATAATCGATTGCTTGAAGCGATAATTTAGAAGAGACAGAACTTCCATCACATGCCAAGGCGTCTGCTTTAAAACATTAGCGCAAGTTGAATTATTTCGATTTTTTTGTCAACAGTTGAACAATAAAATGTCGACTGCCCAAGCAACCAAAAACTGTATTACTCTAAAGGGTTCAGCGCAAATTATCGTCGAGTATTTAAGTAAGTGACACAAAGAAATTAAGAACGGCACTTTTTAAGATGGCGTTTGGCGCCTTTGTTTGCAGACTATGGAATAAACTCGATACTGTTCCAACGCGGCATTTATCCCGCGGAGAACTTTGACAACACACAGCAATACGGTCTAACAATTCTAATGTCGAAGGACCCGAAAATCAAGGAGTTCTTGCAAAACGTTTTGAAACAAACAGAAGGTATTTATTTAAGCAGCGGTTTTAGTTGATTATAACCTGTTGAGTGGATCTTTATATTGTTTCTAGAATGGCTAGCCAAAAATATGATCAACAAAATTTCGTGCGTCATAACCAATGCGCATACCAAAGAAGTGCTTGAATGCTGGGACTTTAAAATGCAGGCGGAGATGGGCGACGGCGAAACAAACGACCCCACCAAGCTGACCTCTTCCAAGGACCTCACGCGCATACAGAATGAAATACGCGATGTAATGCGACAAATTTCAGCTACAGTCAGCTACTTGCCATTGCTAGATTGTATCTGTACCTTCGATGTGATGATACACACCCTGCAGTCTACCGAAATACCCACAGAGTGGAACGAAACTGGTGCCGTTTTTATACCAAACGCCCAGGCTGTTCAGCTGCGCTCCTTTTCAACTGGTTTGCATAAGTTAGATACGGTGGTCAACTATAAAATGAGCTCTTAATGGTCTTCGGGATTTCTCTTTTTTAATATTTATATATTCGTATTTACAATAGATTTAACAAAAATTAATTTGAGCTTCAGTAAAAAGCCAATTTTATAAAAACCTAACATGTGTAAAAATAGTTGGGTAAAAATTGTGTAAATAATTTGGGTGCGTGTTTGTGACGCGCTGGCGCCTCCAATTCAAATGCCATCTAAAACACGAGAGAGAGAACCAAATGTTAGTAAGAACGAAGTGCGAAACTTTAAACAACAAAAAGCTAAAGCCAATGCGAGGCATAAGAGTATGTTAGTCTAAATTTTAAGTACATAGGAGCGGGTGAGCTGAGTTGCATCAATCTAACTCACACTACCTATTCTTAGTCGTAAAACAGCATCTGCTTACTACCACTACAACTACAAGACTCTTATTTCATTGTATTTGTTCGGGTTTATGTGTGTGTGTGGGTATGTGAGTCTAGTCAGTACCAAAGTATTTCTGTCCGAAATGATTGGGCGCCACAGGATGGAGCTCTGATGTGAGGATCTTCATTTTGGGAAATGCATTGACCACGGTGCGTGCGGCCGCCGGCGTGCAAAACAGATTCGATAGGATAATGCAGCTTTCCGCGACGCCATGTTCACGCAATACGTTTACGGCCTGCAAAACTGTATTCCCAGTTGACATGATGGGGTACATAAGCAGGACTTGGCGACGTGAAATGTCGTCAGGAAATCGGGCATACACCACACGCGCCTCATGCGTGTTTACATCAGACTCCACAAGAATCTTGCCAATACGTATAGAGCGACAGCAATCCCGCAGGCCCTGCTCCATCGCCTCGCCGGACCGAATAATAGAGACGCCACAGTTTCCGGATCGATACTTTAGACCCTCGTAAGTTGCGCCGGTGGGCGTTTCGACGCTGCAGGGCGTGTAGGGCAGCTGGTTAAGTGACTCCTCTATGACCAACCGTATCAGTCTGTCCGCATAGAACTTAAAATCACTGCGGGTGGTGTTTCTGCAATCAAATTAAAAAACTGTTAGTACGTGGCAAGACTCATTTACACACCCCCTACTTGTCCCTAATAATAGTTAAGAGCTCGGAGACCTGAGGATTGCATTCGAGAAGCTTTAAGTTTTTGCCATACTCGGCAAGAATCTCCTCGGGCTTGGACGCTGCCAAAGTCACCAAATGCGGGGGAGTTCTTAACGGCTCCAGGGGCAAGTCCTCTGGCTCTGACTGATCCACATGACTATCGGCCGCACTATTCTCGTCAGAAGAGTGTAGCGAATTGTTACTGGATGTCTCGGTACGCATTCTACGAGCTCGCACTTAATTACAAATTAATAAACTAATTAACAATGCACTCTCGAATCGAAGACTACTATGTCGTTGTCGTCGCTGCGTGTTCGACGAAAATAAGCGCAGTAACAAAGAACAGGGTGTACACACTCTGAGTCACGTTTTTTGGCCTTTTTTAGGCAATTACGCCTACCAAAGTGCATACATACATATGTGTAAGCAGTGACCCAAATAAAAGCATTATCCAACTTATGTATTTTGTATATTTTTATCATTCTTGCAAAGTCATTTGCAAGCATTTTAAATAGATATGTACATATGTCGACGGTCTTAATGACCTAATTATAATTTAATCTAAACTTAAACATCCTTAACCAGTTTTTGAAAAATCAGCTTATGTCTAATTCGGATCTAATTATAAACTGAGAACAAAAAAAACTTCGTACCTTGCTTTAACTCCTTGATCTATAAAAATTCTAATTAGATTAAATAATGAAGTGACTATTAGCTTGAGTCCCTCGCGTTGTTATAGCATTGTATCCCCAATTAACAATGATTTGTGTACATAATTACGTAAATAGATACTTGTAGTAATAAACACTCGTATTTTAAACAATGTTTCAAAATCGATGGGCTGCAAGTAAAATCGATAACATAAAAATAAAAGTTCGAAGTAAATACAAATAATTCATTAATTTGTAAGTCTTCAATTTCAATTGGAAGTGAAGATTAATTTTTATTTCCTCTAAGGTTTATAATTCCAAAAATTTGTTTAGAAAATAATTATACTATTATTATTTTTATTTTAAATGGAAGATAAACTGATTGTAACCAATTCATACACAATCATTTATCTGCTAAGTTATGTTTTATTGACTAAAGTAAAAGCTTAAGCTGCACGGTCAGAAAAATGCTGTGGCGCCAAAATAAATCCAATGCTCACACAATACGCAGTAAATTGCCATATGCATTTTAGTGTTAACTGACAAATATGTGCGCGACGTGGATGTGTAAACACTGAACGAGTCGCGATTTTGGTATTTTTTTAAGCACTGTAACACTGCTGGGTGCATACACCAATTTACCTCGTGTCGTTGGTTCGTCAAGCGCAAACAAAGAAAAAGTGCATTTTAAATAGTGATTATAAAGCAATTCCGAGCGCAAGGTGTTGAGAAACTTGCATTAAACAAATTATAAACCAGTGCGCGTGGGCCAATGCAGCGTCGTCGTTGTCGTCGCCGCGTTGTTGTATGTAGTTGTTCTGTATTGGCATTGAGACAGGCAGCCCGTCGCTCTGGTGCTGCTGCTGCGCCTCCGTTTTCCATTCATTGCTATTAACTAATAAACAAATAACCTTCGGGCCTAGAAAGCTGCCCGCGCCTCACCTGTTCCACAAAAGCAAAAACTAAAATAAATTCGGAGCATTGCGGGCTGTGTTTCCGTGTTGTGTGCGTGTGTGAGTCCGCGTATGTGTATGTGTGTTGGTGTTGGCCAGCAGCAGTCGGAAGAAGAAACAGCAACAAATACAAATTAGCAAAAGGCAGCACAGCACACACAAAGTGTTTGCTTGTGTTTGGGGCTTGTGCGTGCGTTTGTTGTTGCCTGCGTGTGCGTGTGTGTCTGTCTGACTGACTGACTGTCTGAGTGAGTGTAACGACAACCACAAATGGCGGACGTGAGTGGCGATCCAAGTGAAGTGTTCGAGATCGAGCTCCACGAGGATGACAAGGCGCACGATTCCGACGATGACAGGATCGAATTGGACGATGTAAGTTAAAAAAAATTGCGCAGCAATTTCTGCAACACGTTTTGCTTCTTCACTAACACAAAAACAGCAACATTGCTTACAACAATGACGCTTGCAACAACAACAACAACATCAACAAAATTAAAGCTGCGCACTTGCAAATTGTTTTTGCGCGGGCGTGTGCCTCTTTTCTGGAGGTCGACCGACTTGGCAGATTTTTCTTCTTTGTTTACCTTCGACAAAGAGCTCTTTATTATGCCTGCTTGCCGCTGCTTTGTCTGCGACTTTTCCTTGAATGCCTGGCGTGAAAGCGCAACAAAACTGACTATATACTCGTATGTACATTCCCACCTAACCTATTCAACTGATTATACATACATACGGATGTACATACATATATGCATGTTTGTATATCAAATTTGTATTTTGGAACGCATTTTCTGCAATATTATGCAGGCGGCTTATCTGCTGCGCAAAAGTCCGTACTGCTGCGTCATGCGCGAACTCTGAATCGGCGTCACATCCAGTTTTAACGTCGATTATTTAATATGAAATACACTCATTCAATTTTCCGAGAATTTGCGACGCCAAGGCGATTGTAACTGTCTGCCTGCCGCATTCCCACTGATATTAAGTCCTACATATAATACGCACATTACAGTAGAGCTTCTCTACTATGAATAATTTACTATTGCTTATAACATTATAAGAAAACATTCCATGCTTAAAATAATTAAATAGCAGTTTTTCGTAGTACATTTGAAATATGTACAATTGAACTTTCAATAATCATTTTCGTTGCATTGGACTTTAAAGCTTTTCCCAGTTGCTAGTCTTTGTTTTAAAAGAACTGAAATGTTTCTTGAACTTTTTATACTCTGTACATGAAATGTACAAGAGTATATTAGGTTTGCGGGAGCTGAAAAATGTAACAGGCAGAAGGAGGCGTGGCAGACCCCACAAAGTATATATATTATTGATCAGCGTGACAAGACGAGTCGATCTAGCCCTGTCTGTCTGTCTGTCCGTCTGTCCGTCCGTATGAACACCTGGATCTCAGAGACTATAAGAGATAGAGACACCAAATTTTCCACAAAGATGCGTTATGTGTGTATTCTATACGAGTTTGTTTTATTTTTTTGATTTTCCCCCCCACTTCCCCCCTATGGGGGTTTTCCCGATTTTCCATTCGTATAATCGCCTATATCTCGGAGACTATAAGACCTAGGCACACCAAATTTTAGTCCAAGATGCCTTGTGTGAATACGCAGAAAATGTATATTTTGGAATTTCCCTCCCTCCCCCCTCTCCCCCGCAAATGCGATTTTCTCTAACTCCCGTAATTCTTGGAATTTCGAACTAAAATTTTGCAAATACCCCCAGTTAGTAATTATGTTTCCGTATGCCAAGTTTCACTGTTATAGACCGATTTACCAAGAAGTTATAGCCATAAATATATTTGCTGCTGCAGCGCTGCTCAAGCGCTGCCCGCGGTTGTTGTTGATGTTGCTGTTTGGTTGACTGCGAAAATGCTTACACAGACACGAATTGATGCGCATAGGCATACATACACTCACACAGACGCAATTGCTATGTAAATGTGCAATTATACACCCTTTACGTGAGTTCGAATACCGAGAGAGGTAAAATCGATCCAATTTTTTTTTCTTTTTTTTTTTTTTTTTATTTTCTATAATTATTGTAAACATATGTACAGAGTATTTCAAAGTCGGGACACCCGACTTTAGCTTTTTTACTTGTTTAAAAATTATCCTTAGCTTAAGCTGTGTCTTACACATTGCGTTCTGAAACACGTGCGATTTATTGTATTTCTTTAACGATCGATTAAATCTTTACATTTCCAAGCGAATTCACCAACACACACACTATCTATACTATTACAAAATTGTCTTCAAATATATATCCATTTTATTCTATATTCGGTAAACAATATTTTATAAAAATACAACAATTGCGACTTGACATCATTTTTTCATGATTGAAGAGAGTCTATAAATACAAAAACCTAATCGGCTGGCCTCATATTCTTCCTATATAAATTTCAAAATACTTAACCACATGAGAAGCAAAACCTAATCGGCTGGCCACATTGTCTTCCTGTATAAAGAAAATCCCAAAATAGTTTGCAAGAGACTGTACGAATTAATTTAATTTTTTTAGTTCCACCCACTTTTTGTAACTGTATTATCTCAAATAACGATCGCATGAAACCCATTTTTCATCCACTGTTACGAATTGTCTATGAATAGGAAAAAACAACTGCATTTGTAAACCCCCGTGTTAATATTTCACAGAAACAATATCCAATTGGGAAAAACGTGACCGCCTTTATTTTGGGCACGATCAGAGATTTATAGATTTGAAACATATACAGTGAATCAATAAAGTCTTGGCACAAGCAGAATTTTTTATGAAAAACGTATTTAATACCTATTATTGATGGGCTTTGAAAATTTTTTGTGATGCAGTTAGTAACATTCGGTAATTATCTACACAACACATGTGAAATTGTTCCGTTATCTCTCATACAACTGAAAATACACAAGAAAGAAGAAAGAAATAGCTTGAAAACACATCAAAAAAGTCTTGGCACACAGCATTAATTCGTCGTATATTTGCAAATATAACGGTAACCTTTACACACCTAATATTTTGTAACACCGCCCTTAGCCTGGATAACTGCTTCTAAGCGCCTACGCATACTTCCGACTAAGTTGGATGTCTCCAAAGGAGTTATTTCTGCCCATTCCGTGCGTATAGCATCTTTGAGGGAATCCTTTGATGTTATTTTATGTTTGCGTATTTTTTTTTTCCAAAATGTTCCAAATATGCTCGATAGGATTCATATCCGGCGACTGTGGGGGTGTTTTTAATTGTTTGCAATGCCATATAAGCCATTCCTGCACCAGATACGACGTATGCTTTGGGTCATTGTCCTGTTGAAATTGCCAACTACGTCCATTTAACCCCAATTTCTCCGCACTTGGAAGTAAATTTTCTTTTAAGATATTGAGGAACACATGTTTATCCATTTTTTCATCAATGAAGACCAAGTTTCCGACTCCAGATGCAGCTATGCACCCCCACACCATGACATTTCCCCCACCGTGCTTAATTGTTTTGATTATGTTATTTTCTTGGAGTTCTTTGTTAGGCTTCCGCCAAATTTTTTGCGCGCCATCTGACCCAAATAAGTTGTATTTTGATTCGTCACTGAATATTACACTATTCCAGAATGATTCCGGCTGATTTAAATGGAGCTTAGCGAACTCCAGTCTCTTCTTCCGATTTTCTTTCGAAATGTAAGGCTTGCGACGGGGGACTCTTCCATGGAAACCAGCTCTGTATAATGTGTTCCGTATTGTTTGAGGGTTAATATTTTCTTTAAAGCGTTCCTGCATTTCATGGCATAGTTTGACCGCAGAAAGCCTTGGGTTTTGTGCCACCGCAGCGACTACTACCCGCTCCTGGCGTTGTGTAAATTTTTTTGGCCGCCCGCTTCTGGATTTATGCTCCACTTGGCCGCTTTCTATGTAGTGCTTTATAATGTTTCGTACACTTGAAAATGGTTTGCCAACTATAGTGCCAATTTCGCGATAACTTTTTCGCTGGACATACAGATTTATAATCATTTTACGGACTTCTACTGAAATTTCCATGCCTCCACCCATTTTGATCGCTTTGTCACCAATTTAAGAGCAAAACTAACTTCAAATCACAAGGAAATGGAGGAATGAGCAATTATTGAAGACAGAGTAAGAAACAGATCAAAGAAAATTGAAAGGTTACCGTTATATTCGCAAATACACGACGAATTAATGCTGTGTGCCAAGACTTTTTTGATGTGTTTTCAAGCTATTTCTTTCTTCTTTCTTGTGTATTTTCAGTTGTATGAGATATAACGGAACAATTTCACATGTGTTGTGTAGATAATTACCGAATGTTACTAACTGCATCACAAAAAATTTTCAAAGCCCATCAATAATAGGTATTAAATACGTTTTTCATAAAAAATTCTGCTTGTGCCAAGACTTTATTGATTCACTGTACATACATACATATGTATAAAGAACATGGCTAATGTACATACCTACATACATATGTATGTATGTATATAGTTTAAAATGTTCTCATCATATCAAAAAACGAAAATGAAAAGCAACAATATAGTGTTCAGCAATGATGTGTTCCGATATTAGGCAATCAAATAAAAACAAATGCCCTTCAAAATAATCAGTATCAATTACCCCATCAGCTCATACAGCTACTCAAACATGCCTACGTACATACTTATATAGAGAACACACAAATGCGTAAATATGTATGTGTTCAGGTATACTCATACATACATACATAGGTAGGTACTTAAAAGCGCGCTATCAACTTTAGAATTATGTACATAGGTAAGAATGTATATATGTACATAAAAATCACACTTGCACACATTAGCAGGCAAGCTAAACTTCCACTTCAGAACAACTGAAATTTCTTATCAGCCTCATACATAATATAAAATTAGAAACGAGAAAAGTAAGCTTGCTGATAAGCAGCGCCCGCCCTGCCAAGTAAAAGCGACAAAAACGCTTGAGCCAATTTAGACTGCACCTGCACCTTAACGTTATATTGGTAGTAGTAGTCGTCGTCGTAATGGTCTTCGTAACAGACTTAAGTGCCTTTACGCAAGCGCACGTTCTGGTCGCCAGGGTGACCATTCATTCCACTTCCGCTTGTTTTTTTGGTGTTTTTTTTTTGTGTAAATCCCACCGAATTTATTGTTCTTAAAATTCAATCCTGAGTTACATTGTGTAATTCATCCAACGGGGATTCATCTCATTGATCCTCATTGCAGAATCCTCGAATAGCTCAAACATTTCGCCGCTCTCGTTTAGCTTTCCCTTTGAAATCAGAATCACAATAGGCTGTCCAATCATAAAATAACTTTCCTGGATGAAAAACTGAAGTATATTAATCGTAATTTAAGCGAAGTCTATGCGGAAAATAAATCCAGATAAAACAGTGTAAAATATTATATTATATGATATTAATTTAAATTATGTCATTTTCAAAGCAATTTTAAAGACACAAAAAGATGTCTGACTCTAAAAAGGCCCAAAAGAATAAGCCCATAATAATCTGAAATCAATTGTGAACTTAATATGCTTGTAGTGTGAATCGATATTTCGCATATGAAGTTTGGTTTTTTGCGAAATAGATCTCCAACACACAATCCCAGTCTTCCAACCCATAAATAATAGATTTGAATTGGATCGTTTTTATATGAAAGTCTTGTCTTATTCGCGCCTTATTTGAGACTGAAATAAAACAAATATATAGTTCGTCCCTATGTATATCCTTATATCCCCTTTTGAACTTCGTAAAAGTTCTTTAATTTAAAAAAGCGATTATAGCTTGGAACAAAATTTAGTATTAAAAAATATTTAAGTGAAATCAAATTTGTACAATCCGTGGAGGCTTAGGGGATAAAAGTTTGGATATCCCTTGCATTAGAAAAAAAAAATAACATGTTCCCGTTAAAATAGTAATCGTAATTTTTCTTGACACTAAATCATCTATAATTCTGAGAAATTCGGTCACCCTGAACGCCACCCACACTGTCAAGGGCTTAAGTATATTTGTAAATTATTTTTACCTGGTGCCCTCGACTTCGACGCATCGTGGGGAAGCAACACGTCTTATGAGCACAATAAATTATGATAAAATTGTTAATTGGAATACAACAAATGCAATAAGATCAACGCTGGCGAGGTGAACTAGTTTCCAATGCTGTGTGAGATGCTTCCTCCATCCTCCCCTTTTGATCGATAGACCGATCGACCGCCGGCCCGCCCTTCCACTTACATCGCCCGCTCAATTGAACTTTAGTCAACGATTTCTAGACATAAGTACGTATGTATATATGTATATCAAAGACGAAATATAAATTTAAATAGGCACGAGCATTTTGCTGAACTATGACGAGCGTCAGGCATCCGTTAGCCCCTTTCCCCTGCTCCCTCCGAGACAGACATAGCCACGGCAAACATCGTCTCCGTCGCCGGCAGATTATTTGGCATTGTTCCGAGTTCTAAATTTAGTTTGTCATTAAAGAAAAAGGTGTGAATGTGTGTGTTTGTGTGCTGCGTGTATGGAAGCTGCTTGTGTATGTATGTGTGTGTTTGTGGGATCCGCTAGAGTTATCGAATAGCAGAGAAATTTTTTCATTGGTAACGATGATGAGGCGCTTGCGACGACGCGTCTCGTCGTCTACGTTCTGCGTCGGCGTTGGCGTTGGTGCTGCTTGACTCTCTCCCCATTCTCCCCATGCTTGCCACTATTTCACTTTCTTTCGATGCAGTCGCATGGCTCTGAAACATGTTTTTTGTTTATCTTTTAATAACCATGATGAATTGTTAACGTTTTTTCAGTTTCACATTTATTCATTGCAAACTCTCTCTTACTCTCTTTCTGTCTCTCTTTTGCAGGTTGACCTAGAACCGGAATTGAGCATAAATTTACACCCAGAGTGAGTAATGCTAAAACTATGCCGTTTTCGAAGAAGACGCCGCCAGCATTTTCATCGCAAACACAAATTTCTTTCATGTGTGGGAGCAAGGCGCTTACTGGTTGTATGTACTTTCTGTATGCGTGGGCTGCCCTAAAAGTTTTCGAAAGATCCCTGAGATTGTATTTAAAAAATATTCAAAAAATAAACGCGCCTGATGGATTCACAGGTCCTCAATCCACACAAGACAATTTTGAAGAATGTAAATGGATCCTTCTTAAAATTGGAATCTTTTGCTAATGATTTTCAGATTTGTTTAACATTTGAAAAAGTTTTTGATTTGCAAATACGAGTACGAGGTGTACAAATCTTGGTTTAAAATTCATAAACGCCTAATGTCTGGGGACTGACATGTCTGGGTATGGACTATGAAGGGTATGAAGAATATAAAGTCAATGCTTTCCTCCTTAGGGTATAAGTAGTGGCTAGGCGCTCAGTAAAATAATGCAATTCAAGTTGTCACTGCCAAAACTGCCAGTCTACAGATTCTAAAACGAATATTGCATTATTCTTGATATGTGGACGTTAACATTAACGTTTTTATAGAAGATATATTTGGGCACTATAAATAAAACTGAAACAAGGAATACCAGAATTAGATACCCTAGCAGGCAAAAAAAAATTCGATTTAAAATAATTTGAGTACAAATCGGTACTTACTCTGCTTATGGATAAAACATATTAATATGGCCTTGTAGCAGTCACTGCCCTAAACTTTCGTCACTAGCATGTAAAATAAAACACTTAACTATAGAAAATTTGAGAATCGCACAGATACTTAGACCCTTTTAGAGTATAGAAGCCGCAAAAGAATAATAGCCTAGCAAACCAAATGTCGACAAACACACCCCACATCCCACACATTCAAACATCAGAGTGCAATCAGAATAAGCTTTTAATTGGGCGCAATAATGTGAATGATGATGATGAGGAAGGCAATGCCTGCCCACGCGCTTGACAGCCATTGGCCAATTATCAGTTGAGCAGATTCAGAAATTATTCGTTATTTTTTACTGTTGTTTACATGCCTGGGAAAATTACCAGCGCCAGAGCGAATGTCTACAAACAACAACAAATGAGAAACAGCCTGCACCTGTCCCACACCAGCTTAGCTGATAACACAGCACCGACTGCGACAAAATGTTTACAACTGCTATTGACTACCGTCAACAACAATAACTAACTGGCTGGCCAGGTTGCTTGCGAATATACATATATCTCTCATATAAACAAAAGCTTGCACCCATCGTCTATACTCTGGGAAGCGTTTTCTGGGTCTGTTGGCAAACACTCGATGGTGTCGATGGCGGCGGCCAACGATCAAGAGTTTATTTGTAGGGTTTATTTATAGAGCACCATGGGTAGCAGGCTGCCTTAATTCCCACGCTTACACTATTACCTACTAATCATAGCTTCTATCCTCTTTGGCCAACCAGCAGCAGCGAGGGCCAGGAGACCATACAGCTATCCGAGGAGAATGTCAATCCCGGCAAAATCAAATTGGGACCCAAAGATTTCGAGTTGAAGAAAGTGCTGGGAAAAGGTGGCTATGGCAAAGTTTTTCAGGTGAGTACAAAACATATAGGCCTGTTTCCGAATCCGATGGATTTTCAGAGTCGTAATTGGTATATGTTTTCATATAAAACTAGTATTATATGAAATCATGTACCAATTACATTACATTACTCATTTACCCTTTTGGTACAGGGAATAAAGATTTTTGAACAATGATTTAAATACTTTGTTTTGAATATAAAGAAAACTTATTTAGAACCAATTTGTAACTTAACAGATTTATTGGGTTCCGTTCAGTTAGTGGATTATTCAAAAGATTACTAGAACACGAGTGAAAGATTAATAGCTTTTTTGAATTTAAACTCATTTAGCAATTTCTAATACGTTTTCTAATTCACACAATTCGAGCGGATCCGTTAGTGGAAACATACCCAAATCGTTACATAAGTGTAATTTATTAATGGCGTATACTTTATTAACAGGTGCGCAAGACGGCCGGACGTGATGCCAACAAATATTTTGCCATGAAGGTGCTCAAGAAGGCCTCGATAGTGACAAATCAAAAGGACACAGCACACACGCGTGCCGAGCGCAACATACTCGAGGCGGTCAAGGTGAGCTACACTGGCCGTGTAGAATGTTCTACAAATGGCGCCAATTGAATTGGCTTTGTTAGTTAAAACTAGTTCAAGGACTAGGATGGTTAATTAATACTTTAAGCACTTGACGATGCATAGTTGATCAGAAATCAGGCAAACAATAAATGTTTTGCAGGCAACTTCAATTTATGACCTTGGCTAGTTCGAATCGGAAACGGTTATTGCACTCAATTTGTTTATGTACGATATTATTAAAAAATTGATGTTTAATATTAGCGGCTTAAAAATTCGAATCAATATTATCTTTTAAAGACGAAAATAATAATAATTTGAAGAAAATAAATACCATCTTTCGGTGTAGTTTATTGATATATTTATATTCTGCAATATTAAAACAATAATATCATATCAAGATTATGAACATGATAATTTTTCTAGTTCGTAAATCATGTATTTACATAACGATCATTTCTGCTGAAGACTTTGTTAGTCTTAGTACAGCTTAAAGTTTCATATAAAACACAAGTGTATTCCCAGATATTCCCGAGAAGCTTGTCTCTTAATGTCTTTCTCAAACTTCGTTTAATAACAATCAAAAGTTGTTGGAATTGAATAGTTCGGGCGATATTTAAAAAGACAAATCTTGGATGAAGAGCACACTTCTTTAATACAAGCACGGCAGTCCTAATTGTGAATACTTCTTAAACAAATTCCACTCAAGTGTAATATTGGAGATTCAGAACTAGACTGATTTTAAGTCAACTTCGTGCTGTTTGTGAAGCCTGTAACAATACTAAAAAAAACAAAACTAGATTTTGGCTTAGGTTATTCGTAATAATGTAATCAATTGTGAGACTATAATAAGCTCTCTACTAGATGTTAATAAATCCATCTTCTTATATATTATTTATTATCTTTCGTAGCATCCCTTTATTGTGGAGTTAGTCTATGCGTTTCAAACAGACGGTAAACTATACCTTATACTAGAATATCTAAGCGGCGGCGAGCTCTTTATGCATTTAGAACGCGAGGGAATCTTTCTAGAGGACACCACATGGTATGTAGCTCCACTATTTGTCTCAAAGTAACAACTAAATTGCGTTTTCATCTCCACTTTTAGCTTCTATCTCAGCGAAATAATTCTGGCACTTGGCCATCTACACAAACTTGGCATCATTTACCGCGATCTGAAGCCGGAGAACATTCTACTGGACGCGCAAGGACATGTCAAGCTAACGGATTTCGGTCTGTGCAAGGAGCACATACAAGAGGGTATTGTCACCCACACCTTCTGCGGCACAATTGAGTACATGTGCGTGCGCGCTCCCAGCCTTTTGATCTTACTATTAATTGCGTTTAATGGAGTAGAAGTTGCAACTTACGTGTTTCTATTTAATATTGCAGGGCACCCGAAATTCTGACAAGAAGTGGCCACGGCAAATCCGTCGATTGGTGGTCGTTGGGTGCACTAATGTTTGATATGTTGACGGGTGTGGTGAGTTCTCAGATCTAAAGAGATTATATTATAAGTGTCTAAAAACTCTTTTTAAATGCTAACAGCCGCCCTTCACCGCCGAGAATCGAAAGAAGACTATCGAGACTATTTTGAAAGCAAAACTTAATCTGCCAGCCTACCTCACACCTGAAGCCAGAGACTTGGTGCGTCGTCTGATGAAACGCCAGGAGCCACAGCGTCTGGGCAGTGGTCCTGAAGATGCGGCGGCAGTGCAGAGACATCCGTTCTTCAAGCACGTCATTTGGGACGATGTCCTTGCACGACGTTTAGAACCGCCCATTAAACCGTTACTGGTGAGTGACAAACTAAAAATAAATCCATTAGTTCAGGGTTAATCCTTTTGTATGTTCTGGCTTTTACAGCGAAGCGAGGATGACGTCTCACAATTCGACACAAGATTTACAAGACAGATTCCAGTTGATTCACCGGACGATACAACGCTCAGCGAAAGTGCCAATTTAATTTTTCAAGTGAGTACAAAGCTTGAGTTACTAAATATTAAAAGGGGTGTAAGGATTCTAGAGTAATTTGAAAGCTTTCGAGCTTTCGAGCTGTTACTAAATTGAAGTCTTCTTTAAATTGAAATATCATTTTCTGTCGAATCGAACTTAGTTTTGTTGAAGGCGTTGTGTTTACTTCACAGAAGGTATCACATATACCCTTATGCTTGCAGTTTCAACCCGTTGTTCAATCCGAAGATCCTTTTTTGGAAGCGGATTCTCTTCGCAGAAGATTTCACACTAAGTCTAAGCACAACGTTAAGAAATCAGATTGTTATGCTTGCTTTTGTTTTATCATTTTGAATGCGTCAAGATAAAGTTTTGGGATTTCACAATAAATACTTTTCTATAAGTTAGCTTAATCCTAGGTAGGCGTATTGTGCTCATTTTTAGCGATAGTCGGCGCCACATTGAAAATGGGGCTCTTTAAGCGGTATGCCCGTGGGTCCATCCGTCAACTCACAAAAATTGAGGCCAATGCGTCGAAATGGGTGACATTTGCTCTTAGGATTGCCCCATTTACCGCGATAGGTTAGCCAATCGGGCACAAGGGAGCGACCTGAAAGGAACAAAAATAATTTATTTAATTTAGTAGAAAACGGGGGATTGCTTACCATAAGATCTCAAATTTTCATAGCTTATGTCTACGCTCTTCCAAGTGTTCCAAGGCGTGCCAAAGCCATTGATGTCGTAAAGCCGGGCCACCTTCACGAAGCGGTGCTTCCCGGGTGCAGTCCACAAGCCATGGGAACCTTTCGCAGCAAACAGTACCGGGTGGTCCTTGAAGGTGGTAACTGTTTTGGGAAAGTTAGGTCGCTGCAGAATGCCTTTGCGCGTCTCCTGGCGCTTAAACTCGAAGGCACCCGTTAGCCTGTTGTAACTATAATAGGCGCCAGCATCGTGTGCGGAGACATACATGGCCTGAGGTTCGGCATCGCCATCGAAATACAAACTCATGTGCTCCCAGTCCCCGACATGACTGCCAATATCCTTTCGCCTGCCCAGGCAGTAGCCATAGACAGCTGGGAATGGAATGCGTCCCAGCGGACCCAGGCTCAGAGTGCACATCGTCTTACCCTGGCTATATGGATAGAACATCCAGTAGGTTACATGAAAGCTGGGCATCTTGCGCCTGCTGGGACTCTGTTCCTCATAGGGCACCTCGCTAATGCTATTATCCTCGAGATTATCCTCAACGCCACCACTAAACTTGACGTTGTCTGCTAGATTGGCTATGAAGTTGTTGACTGGCACACTATTATCCAGATCCTGCTCCTCCTCCACAGTCTCTGGGTTGGGAGGTGGCCCTGTGGCTGTATGCTTGCCTTGCGTCTCACCCATAACCAAATCGTATTCGCTGACCGGCTGGTAGCTGGTGCCGCCAATTACGTCTCGTTTCACGCGCTGAAAAATTGGAAAGAGCCTAGAGGAGCGACGTACTGTGTCGGTTCGCTCCTCGAGCGGATCAATAGACACGGGTATATAGGGACCTCGTGTGCTGGCCAAGGATATTGCCGGCTTCTTTGCCCCACTATCACGCCTCGGTGGCTGCTGTGCCGGCGGTGGTTGTGTTGGCGCAGGACAGAGTGTAACTACACCATAAATGGGCACTGGCGCCACATTAGGATTGCGTCCGTAGATAAATGAATTCTCATTTTCCAACAAATCCTGCACTTCGGCATTCGTCACCAAATGCGACTTTGTCGAGAAATCTCTAAAACTCATGCCAGGCGTAAAACTCTTCTCCTTGTCCATGGGATGTACATGGTGTAAAAACTCATCCACACCCAATGGCATGAATTTCTCCTCCGGCGCTAGCCACACAATTGGTGCCCATTGCTTGATGAGTCGCTCGACTAGAAATGAAACGAGGTTAGAAGATCAACCAAATTGAAAGGGAAATTAGTTTAATTTTTTTTTTCGTAATCTTTTTTTATTGTCTTGGTGCAACTAACTACAACTGGAAACAAACCCAACAAGTTTCGGCTGAATGAAGACTGGCTCCGAATTTCGGCTCGGTTTTTAATTCAAGTGTAATAAATTTCACTTTCACACTTGAAGCGCGTCCATAAAGTCGTGTGCGCCGCTCAGAGCTCTACTATTTACTTATAAACATGTGTACTGGGTACCCAGTACACTATACCCCTGGCGATCTTCTTCTCCTTCTTGGCTTAGGCAATTTGTTGCCCTTGCACCACCTCGCACCACCGTGGGTTTTGCTTTTACGGCTTTTACGGCTCTACCCATTACTTGGCTAGCCTTTCTTAATGCTCTTTGAAAATGTGGCGAATGACGACTAGGCAACATACTATATTATGTGTTGCGATAAACCATTAAACAAGTTCATTCTTTGAGAGCTTTTATTACTACATTCGACTAGACGGGTAACACTAACTAGATACTGAGCTAAAATATTACGAGCAGTTTCTAATCGTCTGTTGGGTATATGGTTAGATAAATCACTAATAGTCAAAAGCTAAGTATACCAACATCCATATAGCTAGTTTACAATCGTCGTGGATTTTTTATCTTCTAAATATGGGTTAATTACGTTAATTTGGAAAACAAAAGTTAAATTATCACCCGAGTTTTTTCATGTTGTCATCATGATTATAATGATTTCGAAAGATTTAGGGATAAAAAGATTGTTTGCACAGTGTCGGGCAGTGTCATACTCTTAAGACAATGGATTTCCTCTCGGATGATCAAAGGGATCGGAAAGAATTTCTCTAGATCATCGTATCATCAGTCGCCATTACCTCTATCTATATCATCTCTATCGTCTTTCTAAAGATTTGAAAAGGAGCAATCAAAAATCTACAATACAATACAATTTCAACGAAATGTGAACGTAAATAAGGATAGTGATAAAAAGTTAATAGTAGCGAGTCTACTTGTGGATTTATATTGTGAGACTGAACTTTATAATTTTCTCGAAGTATATAAGGCAACCAATCAATAATTTAAAAGGAAACACAAAAATTATTTATATTTCAATTCTTAAATTCTATAATCTTTACAAGTAGGAAATGTGCAGTAAACAATTCCACATAAAACAGAGATATATAGTTTAATCTTTTGTTTTCATTGCAATTCTACACTCATATTCTTTAGGAAGTGTGTGAGGTAAACAATGCCATAAATTGTAATAAATAACTTTGATTGTTTCCTGCATTATTATCTTTAGTCTTGACAAATCTCAAAACGTTTCTAAACAAAATAAAGCCAGAAAATGAGATAAATGAGCTAACTAAACTCCAGCATATATGAGTCTTAATTTTTAATGAGACTTAATTATACATTTTCTGGAGTGCCTGTTCTAAACATTTTCTAGAGTTTTTGTCTTGTAATTGAAATCTTTCAAATTAACAGAAGTTTTAAAAGAGTATATAAGTTTCGACCTATCAAAGAGAAGTTTTCATTATTGTTTTTTTTTGTTGCCGCGGCGCGTAATTTGCCAATTTACTACTGTTTTTGTTGTTGCTGCTGTTACTGGTTACTGCCGTTCCATATAAAATACGCGCATACTTGTACGATAAAATAAAAAGAGAGGCATAGCCAATGGCCAGCTAATGACACCATCGGCCAACTAAATCATGTCAGAAATTTCACTTCAATTTCAAAAAGTAAACAGCAGACACCACAGGCACAGCTGACTGACTGACTGGCTGACTGGTGAGGTGTTGAAGTTTCTTGTAGCTGTTGTTGTTGTAGTTGTTGATTGCACTGCTTGTTGTAATTGTTTTGGGGTGTTGATACTATAACCATACCTACTTCTTTATCTAACGCCGTTATTGGTGTATATTGCATTGGTTGTTGCTGTGGCTGTGGTTGTGGTGGTTGTTGTTGTTGTTGTTGTTGCTCTGCTGAGTTGTAGTTAGTGGTGGCAGGGAGGGAGGTGTCATAGCCAGCGCTATCGTTAATGTTGTTGTTGTTGCTGCTGCTGCTGCTACTGCTGTTGTCGATGAAAGTGCCAGCAGCAATGCCATCCGTTGCATTTAAAATCGTGTTTGTTGGCTGTTGTTGTGGCATTGCCGCTGCACTTAGTAATGACAACAACAGCAAATGAAAAGCGCCACCAACGATCGAGAGTGAATTTCGCGTTTTGGTCATTTTACCACAAAAATATTCGAGTACAAATTGTCGCCAGCCAGCCAACAAAGAGGGGCTTTTATTTGTAGTGCGCCTATTATGTCTTTACTTGTTTTTGTGTTATTTTTTCTCACACGCTCTGTTTTTTTCTCGACACTTTGCCAATTTTTAGAGATTTATTGCGCATGTTTTTTCTTTTTTTTTTTTTTTTTTTTTTTTTTTTGTATGATATTGTTAGTTTTGTTATTATTGTTAAATTATGCAATGTCACACATGAAGCATTTCCGTTTCCATGGCCTTGCCAATTGTGTTATACAGTTTGACAAGCACACGCACACATCTACACGCACCGACTGCACTTCACACAGTTATAAAAACAGCTGACAGCGACTGCGCAGCATATAGCGGCAGTTCTTGTCCCAATTAAAGCTGCTGCTGCTGCGCTCTCTCTTCTGCACGTGCGCATGCGTTGCTCTCTGCCGCCGTCGCCTCACTCTCTGTGTGTGTGAGTTGTTACTGTTTGTAGCTGTAGCTGTTGCCGTTGTTGTTATTGTTTCTGCACTTATTGGTATTATTTCTTTACTGGTTTAGTTTTCATAAACCTTTGTTACGGGCTCGACTCGATAGCCCTGAAACGGTTTAAAGATCCATAAGAATTAATGTCAATGTCTGCGTTGCATGTGAAGTGAAATTGATTTTTTTTTTTAACAACACTTGATTTATTTAATGCAAGTCCGTTAAGCCTTTCTCCAGGCCTGCCACTTTTTACGTAGCTACCACTATTGGTGGCATGTGTGTGTGTGTGTAAATGCACAATAAACCAGCATATGGGGCTTTTGCGAAAGTCGCTTTCGAACCGCACGCTCTGAGCGTCTCTTCAAGACTGAAGCACTGCCAACGGCGTGGTGGCGCATTTTGGCAGCAGCGACTGCCTGCGTTTTCAATATTATGAGTCTAAAGCTAATTGCGGGTCCCCCGCCAATGAGCAGCAACCACTGAACCAAACATTTTGCTTTTAATGTTGTTGTTGTTGCTGTTTGGGTTGCGTGTTTGTTTATATACAAAAATATATGCAGGCCTAAGACTTTGTTTAACATTTTATGTTTCGTATGCTTTTCTGTTAATTTCGTTTTGTTTTCTCGTGTGTTTGCGTTCCCAACCTTCCCATTGACTTCAAAAAAGCGGTGTGCTATATTTATTGAGGGTAATGTACAATTTCGCCGCTTTTATTGTTTTGCGCATGCGCGGCACAACGCATCCACAGTTTGACATTTGCGGCACATATGCTTATCAAACTGTATCAGACTGTGCATGTTGGTGGCACTTTCAATTAGCAGTCGCTGGCAGCGAGATGCGCTACATTTCTACCCCAATTAGAACCTTATTATGCTTAATTATTGGCTTTCTAACAGCAGGAGGGGATACCGCTTTTTTTTTTTTTTTGGGTCAATGACTCGGTGAAAAAAGTTGATAGTTATAGGTAATAGTACTGAGCGTGAGAGAGAGAGAGATGGACCAAGGAAAGACATCATAAATTATTATTTTCAGCTAGTTAATTGATTGAAATACTATTTTTGAGTTCAAGGTTAATGAAAATCTCAAATTTCAACGTGATTTATATTATTTATTGCAAAACACAATAATAAATTATAATAAAAACGTTAATAATGGCTTTTGTTAGCTAGGGCTAAGGGTCTTTTATGCTAATGAGTTATTTTATGAGATGATAATGCTTGCCTATAGTTTAGCTGCTAGGCTAGACTAAATTAGTGTGAAACGAGCAGAGCACAGATACATCCAAGCATTAATGCATAAAGTGGCCACAAGAACTTAAATAGTCTAGAAACGAATCATGAAAATTAATTTTATGACCAAGCTAATGTGTTATTAAATCTGTAACTGCAAATAAATAGATTTATGTCTTTCATATGAAAGGTATTTGTTGTTTTTTTATTCTACAAATATTACTCTAGTTACGTAAAAAACCACTAGTCCTACTTTTGTCGAACCGCAAGATAAGAATAAAGGGCCAATGTGTTTTGATAGATTGAGACATCTTAACAATCTACATGGAAAACAACTATTCCCTTTCCCACTTTTCCCAAAAAAATGCACTGCCAAAGTTTCCTTTTAAGTGTTTCATGTTTCATTTCCTGTTTGCAAACAAATGAAATTATGATTTTCATTGGCAATGTAATTTGCTCTAGTTATTTGAAAATAAGATCTATCAGGACTTTACCGCCGAAGATGCGTGCTTACCTCCTTCAACATTTTCTCTTATAAGTTCGAGCAGTGTCTTTGCTTTGATTTCAAAATAAATATTGGTAATACTTAAGAATTCATTTTAACGCTGGACACTTGGTAGATTCGAGCCCCTGACAGTTCACACATTTTCTCTCCCAAAAACTCCAAATAATATCAAACAGTGCTTCCATTTCTGTCTCGAAAACCAAACAGTGTGTGCATTTCTCGAACTCTCTTTTTCTCTATAGTAATAGGCTTGGCGTCGGTGCAGCTTCCAGTGCTGCTGGCCCAAAAGTTTGCGTGCTTGTTTAATTTACACAAAAACTGGCGGTGGCGGCGGCTTTTAATTATTTTATTGGAATAATATTTGGTTATGGTTTGCTGCCATGCCATGCGCATGAATTTCGACAAAATTTAATTAATGTCTCTGACTGGCCGTCACTTTTCGTGGCAGTCGCGATACTGGAAAATTATGTAAAATGTGTTAATATTGCATTATGTAGTATGTGCGATTGAATGTATGTATGTATGTGTGCGGATAACTATTACCCAGTTCGCAGTTTATAAAACAGTTCGCACCGGCCCCACTGTTGCATAACCTCTCCAAGGGGGGTAGTGGAAGTAATGTAGTCGGTTCAGAGCAACCCGTTCCAAATTAAATATGCATGCCATGTGCCCACGATGCGTATGAGCAACATCGTACACTGTTTACTGCACTGATTTCAATTGCGCACTCGATTTCGTCCAGCGATGCCACAAGTGGTAACATTTCTTTGGCAAATCCAAGAAAAAGTGCTTAGTAAGTAAGCGAATGCTATAGCTACTGCTTAAGGGCGCTACTCTTCAGTCAACTCGTAAATAGACAGAGTTATTTTATTCCTATACTACTGTTAGCCAACGTTTCGGAAGAATCGGAAGAATATTGAAAACGTTGCGAAATAATACGAATTATCATGAATGAAACGGAATGTCTGGGATAAAGTTTAAAGAACTTAGAAATAGATTGAACGCTGCCTCTAGTTAAAGTAATTTCCCCATATTTTGGGGAAATAATTTCATTCAGTGAGCAGGATTTTTAGCCCGCCATTTATTCGATCTTAGTTAAATACCTCCAACAAAGCAGACCTTCTGAGCCATGGAGCATTCAATTAAATGTGTCCGACATTTATTGACGACTATGGCTATGGATCGGCACTATTGTCGGGGTCACCACAAGTGCGCTTTGTATTTATAAACCCACTAAACGGCTTATTTATTTTTTTGTTATAGGGTTTCACCTACGTTGCACCCTCAATTCTGGAGGATATGCATCGGGCCAATCGCATGCCAGCGCGCTCGCCACGTCGCACACCCCGCCAGCTTCCGGACAACAGTTTTCGGCTGCAGTTCCCGTCCGCCAATGCCAATGTGGGCCCGCATGCGTCCATGAGCGTGCAAAGGTCAACGATGTTCGCACGTGCCACACCGCCCCATCATATGCAGACGTTTGTGCCGCGCGCCTCCCCCGCGCAGGAGGAGATGATGGACGTGCAGCACGGCCTGCCGATGGTCTAGTATGCTGGACGCCACAAACAGCTATAAATGAGAGTTACTATTATGACGTATGGAAATTGAAAAGCTACAGAGAGAGAGAGAGAGAGAGGACAACAGCGTGTCTAACACGAACGTGCATGTGGGAGGCCCAGAACCCGAAGAGTTTCTTTGGATATATATATATATATATATATGTATATGTACGCACATACATACATACATACATACATACATACAAGCTATAGTTATAGGAATAAAAACATAATACTTTATAAGGCTACGGAAACTAAAACTGGCAACTAGAGCCATGGGTTGGGCAGAGCTAGGCTAGGAGGATGTAAAGTTGTCTGGATTCCGATTTCTGCCTGCGCCATAACCCCAACATACATACATATATATGAACACACACACACATGCAGACACAGCCCCACAATCACACACACACACACACACTTTATGTAAAATATGCCTACTTCCAATTACGTTTTATAGACAAAGGGAAAAAAGGAGGAAACGAAAATTGTTTATACAAATTTAGTTCAAATGTACAACAAACAACAAACAAAACACTATATACATAAATAATTTGTTTTTTATTTTATTAACATTTTAGCAACAACAAAAGCAAAAACTAAAACAACCTATAACTATTACTATTTTTCTACAAATCGAAAGCGAAATCGCAATTTCAGAGAAAACAAAACAAGAGAAAACAAAAAACTTGTGTAAAATGTTTTAACAATACTTTTTGAGTTCTTAAGCTTTAAATTGTTGTCTAGCAATTATAAAATTTTTTTAATATTAAACCTTAAGTACGTTCAATTTTTAGTTATAGGATTGGAAACAAACTTAACAACAATTTAAAACAGATGCGAAACAAAGGTTTCCAAAGGCACGTTTAGGGGTATAACAACACAGTCGTTTTATGTTTCTAAATAAGCTGATTATAGCCAATTTTTATTATTTATTTTCTAATTTGAATCGAGAGCGTCCACAAACATGGAATTCTTTATTTGTTGAAGAAAAAAATACAAAAGAAAGAAGAAAAAGTAACTGCTGGCCACAACCAAAATAAGGCATTTCTTAGAACAAAAGGAACTTGAACCTCTACAATAAATAAATGGAACCTATCTTGTTTGCCACAGACTATAGAAAACATTGATAAACCATATAGAAAATATATAAATATTTTTACATATATGAAGGAGACTTGTTGCAACATTTTTACCGCGTACTGAGAAGCTAAACGCTGCCACAACATTTAAAACGAAACGTAAACAAATATTTACTTTATTATACCTAATTGTTTATATTCTGTTGTATCTCAATATGATATTTTCAAGCCTATACATGAAAAGCGAAAGCAAAAACCAAACTGAAAAGCAGTAACAAAAAAAAATCGTATAAAATTAAACAAAACAAAAAAATGTTTCACTGAGAATGTAAAAAATAAAAATAAAAAAATATTCTGTTATGTCGAGAATATAATCAAAAGGTGCTTTGAATTGTTTATAGAAAAAAGAAATAAAAGAAAAAGACAAGCGAAAACTACAACAACAACAACAAAACAAACAAATGAAAAATTATTATTGTAAAAAAAGAACTCTAAACTATAAACTAAATACTTATAATGGTTATTGTATAAAAATGTTTATATAAACAAAAGGAAATACCTCAGAAGCAATTATTTTTGTTACAACCAACTAAAACGAAAAACGAAAACAAAAAATGGAAACAAAATACAAAAAATAATGAACTAAAACTAAATACGAAACAAAGAGAGCAAACAGTTTATGTATAATTTATAATGTGTATATCGAAGAGCAACAAGAGAGCAACAATTAATTAGTTAAACAACAAACAAAAAGCAAATTTGTACGAGTATGCGAAAAACAAAACATAAATACATATATTTTTTGATTGTAAAACAATGATTTTTTTATTTATGCTACATAGCTATAAATATATATAATTGTTTTTGTTTTTATTTACGAAATGATTTGCTTGTGGCGCCGCAAATTTAATAAGAAATGTCTTATTTTTTTGTCAGTGTAGCCATAAAACGAACACGAACTATAACTAAACGATGTAACATATACTTAAAAACGCCTAATTAAGTAATATCAAGTGAAATATGTATATGTTGAGACAAAAAAGAAACACCCAAGAATGATGAAACACTGCCTAAACGAGAGGGAAAAATTAAATGAAATACAAAACTAGCAACAAATTACAAACAATAATCGATGCTAATTAACAAACAAAGATGAATGAATTTAAATCCATACACACAAAGCAGTTCGTAGTTAGACAACATTAACAAAATGACAAGCCCAGCTAATAAAGAAAACTGTTTTCATTTGCAAGTAGTACAGTTGCCCCCGTAAGGCAATGCGGCAACTAAATTTTTGCAGCAATAATGCGTAGGTACACACTGACACTGACACTCACAACCACACCATCACACACAACACTAACGAGTAATTAAGTTCTGCCATTTGTACAGTCCACCACACAGCTAATAATTAGTGTTTATAGTATTTGAGATCATTGTAGTCATTGTGCCGATAGATGTTGTCATAGCGACCAAAAATTTAAACAAAAAACAGCAAAACAAGAAAAAAAGAGTTCATTGTTAATAGTTCATAGGCACACACTCACACGCAAGCCAGCAAGCAAGCGAAGGCAACTCTAAGCTCTTGCTTAATTACAGTTATTTGAAATAAATGACAACCCACAACACAAACACACGTTGAAATATAATTAAGAGAGTTTAAACAGAATACAAACAATAACAACCACAACTAAGCGAATTATGTAATAATACTATATACCTAAAATGTGTACATGAAAGTCAAACTCAAAACTACTTAGAAGAAATTACAAAGAGGTTGGAGCAGAAGTAAAATAGGTGGGGGGATTTGAAATGTAGGCCATAGCTGAGTGGCAAGGAAGCGAGGATGATTGGCAGCCAAAACTGAATAGAGACAGACAAAAGGAAGCAGAGAAGAGAAGGTCAACAATCCAAATAAGTAACAAATGTTCATTGCAACAACAACAACAACAAGATCCTAGTTAAATAAATTGTAAATTTGTATCACTAATTTAAGCGCAGTATATAGAGTACATAAAATAATAACAATATACAAAACTATAGAAATTGAAGAATGTATATCGTAAATAAATGAAAACTTAATTTTACAGAAAAACAAGTGAGACACGAAATTTTAATGTACGTTTTTATGGTTAATGGAAGTTCATTTCGTTGACTTCCCAAATAGCCCGGATATGGAATGGGAATCGATGACCAATGTATTGATTTAATTTAAGAAAATCTTCAATGTTTTTCAATTTCTTATGTGTAACAATGTTTGGATCGTAACAGATTTCTATAACAAGAGCACAGAAGAAGATCGCATAATGTATTCTAAAGCTGGATTCGATTAGGTTTTGTTAAAGATCGAGTTTTTCCAACAACAAATCGATTGAATTGATTAAAGTCTTTTTCATTGAAACTTTTCCTATTATAGTACCGATAGTTTTCATAAAGATCGAGTTTTTCCAACAACAAATCGATTGAATCGATTAAAGTCTTTTTCATTGAAACTTTTCCCATTATAGTACCGATAGATTTCTTAAAGATCGAGTTTTTCCAACAACACATCGATTGAATCGATTAAAGTCTTTTTCATTGAAACTTTTCCTATTATAGTACCGAACCATTTATTGTTTATCGATATTGGAACCAAAAAACAATTTCGTTTGAACAAAATGTGTGGTTATACATAGATAAAGGTGTAAAATGTTGCGGTAAAAAAAAACAAATTGAATTTAAGCCTAGCAGACCCCACCTATACGCAATCTGTGTTTCAAAAACTGTTAATATTTCCTCCAGAAGCTTCCAAAATAATTTGTATAATAAAAATTTGGATTTTTACATCGGAGGTGGATAAGCGGCAGTCTGTGGCTTTAAAACCATGCAAGCAGTGCTTGTCAAACCGTAGCAGACTGTCATTAATGGTGCCACAGACAGACAGACAAATTGCGTCTCAGGTGTTTTATTTTTAAACCAGCCACCCCACTCGTCGGGCCTTCTAGCACACAGTTATTAGCATAACGAATGCGAAAAAGTTTGCCATCCATACCGAGCTCCTGCCGCTCCATTTCCTTTCCCAAGTTCCCATTTCCAGTGAAAGTGTGTTAACATAAATCGATCGACATGGCGACGTCGGGAGTAGCTTGAACGGCTTGAAAGTCATCTTTCGTCATTGGGCGATGGCGTCGTATTGCTATTTTTAAACCCTAAACCGAAATCGTGTAAGGCGCAACCACAGGAATATTGTGCCCCCAACAGTGCACAGTGGTCCCGAATTCACAGCTAACTGGAAACAAATTATAACATCTTTCTAGGTTTTTCTCTTAATTGTATTACTCTCTTATTAAAGTTTTCAAATTGTTCATAAAAACATACAATATTTCTCATTTATAAATTCGTTCTTCGAAAGGTGAAAACCTTATTAATAAAATTATGCTTGGTAATTTGAAAAAAATTAAATTGTTTATGATTTTTAATTCGCCTTTCGGCATAGATCATTAATTTTTTATAATACATTTGCACCGTTGCTATAGAAGTATAAGACGGAAAACAAAAAACAATATAAACTTGTTTAAATCCAGTTGTTAAATTATTATATGTTCTTATTGTTTTTTTAAGCCACTGGGATCACTATGAAATGGAATAGTACGATTTGGTAGTTAAGTTTAGTTATTTGGGTTCGCTTGGATCTCTGCTTGGATTGCTTGTTATGGCCTGAATTTGCTTGCTACGGTTAGGTGGTAGCTTCGGACCACTGTGAAACGCCCGCGCGCCAATTGGCTTCGTTGCATTTGAAGTAGAACTTCTTTAGTCGTGGTTGCGTTTGCGTTTGTGCCCAATTGCGCTGCCATGTGGCACAACAACAGCAACAGCAACAACAACAGCTGCACCATAAATGTCTGTCACATTCGAATACGAAACATACATAGACATATACTTGTAGTACACCTATAAGTATGTATGTTGGGGTAGTGTGTGGGTTGGTATCCAACATAATAATAAATACCGCTAGGCAACGGTAAATTTCATAGCATGAATCGATTTAACGAACCCATCGCGCAGCCAGGATTAATTCAGTCAGCCAGCCTTCAGCAGGGGCACTGGACTTTCTCGCTTCACTTTCCTTATACATCATCATATTGGGGGCTAGGTAGAGAATTAATTTTATTTTCCATATTTAGTGTGCCTTTTAGCAGTAGACAGATGGAAGTTTTCATTTTTGAAACACCAACATTTCACATAGAAAGAAGTTAATAAATATATATTTAATTTTTCCAATTTCCATTTCCACAACCAATTGTGTTTGAGACTTGAGAGCCATGTTGCCGAATCTGAAGACGCGTCGCATAACGGGACTGCAGCTGGCCGGAAAGCATTTGGGACCAGTGGCCAAATGTCCGCCCCGCTACTCCGAGGAGGATTGGGACTACAACAACAAAATTAAGTTTCGCATAACATGCGATCAGGAGAAGCTTGCGGAGCGCATTGTGGAGTAAGGGTTGGCTCCCCTTTTAACAATTTTTCAATCTTGACATTGCTTTGCATTCTTAAGGGAGTCCCGTCGCGTTGTGGATGAGACGAAGGACACCACCAAGAATTGGCAGCGCGAGGTCGAGCACCACATGCGTGAGCGCACGAGCGAGATTCGGTTTCTGGTGGACGAGCTGAATCGTCAGAAGAAGACGGCGCTACTGGAGGACGAGGCGCTCAACACCTATCGCAATCGCGTGCTGAACGCCATCGAGTTCTTAAAGGAGAAGTCCCTGGCGATTTGCAAACAGTGTCTGATCATGCGGGAGGGACGCATTGGTGTCGATTTATGCGATGATGAGGTGGATCGTTCGCTGCGTCGCGAACTGAAGGTCATTAAGGGCTGTCAGGGGCTGGTTGATGCGGCCTTGAAGGAGGCTGAGGAGCAGATACGGAAGCTGCGCGCTGCCATGTACTTGCTGGACCAGGATCTGGCCGCGAAAGACAAATCACTGGCCATTGATGAGAAGAATCTGAAGCTAAAGGAGTTTCAACACGATCTGGGCAAGGGACAGGATCTGTCCAAGCAGCATTGGTGGGTAACAGTCTGTCCCCGTTTAATCCTCTATTGAATGCCAAACGACCTTTTACAGTCAATTTTCGCTTACTGAGTGGCAGGCCCAGACCTACGAGAATCTGGAGGCGAATGCCAAGGCTCTGGTCTCGGCCGGCCAGTTGCGTGCCTACATCGATTTATTATTGAAGCAGGTCTGCGAGGACATGCAGAACCAAACTGATCGCACCAATGAGGCCTTCGAGCGTCGCATTGCGGAGACAAAGCATGTGAAGCAATGCCTGGAGAACAAGCACAAGGACACCATGGATCATATACATCAGGTGCAGCGGAATATGACCGATCTGGAGAAGGAGATGATGGACAAGCAGCGTGCCATCACGCTCTGCCAGACGCGTCTCAGCAATCGCGCCCATCGTCCCGGTCTCGAGCTCACCTGCGACATGGTCCAGGACGCTCTCTACAATGAGCTGCAGGCCCTCAAAGCCTCTGTTTGCAAGCTCAACCAGAAGCTGAACGAGAACAAGGCCTCCATGCGGTATCTGATGCATGTCCAGGTCATGCAGGAGGAGGAGATTAATATAAAGGCGAATACTTGCAAAATTGACGAGGTCGATTGCATGACCTTGCGCCAGGCACTCAAATATCAGTCGTTCTAGGATCAAATTTCCCCTACCAACAACAACCATAATGATAACAACTTGTAGTAATCAGCGCACACAGACATACATGTGTGTATTTATTGTGCAACTTTAATTAAAATTAATTGCATTGCATTTCGCGTTCTATTCCAAATTACATCAATAAATTCAAATTCACTTCGAGTTCGAAAATAGCGGAAATTCAAAAGTATTTTTTTCAGCTGATGTGGCAGCACTGGCAGCAACACTGCTGGAGGATGAACTGCAGCCTTGTTACGACTACGCTTTTCCTCTTGGGCAACGCCGGCTGGCTCATCGGAATTCTCCTTGGGTGTGTGGTTCCAACCCTATGCCCGCGTGAGTCGTACAATAACCGATAACACGGTTCCTCCATCGATAAACAAAATGCCATCACTACAATAAATTCGACGCGCAATATACAAAACCGAATTCAAAACGTAAACAAACCAAAAAAACTAACATAAACTAAAAGAAACGTACTGCGACAAGAAAACAAATAAACGGATAACTCCCTCAAGCCATCCGTACGAATACGGGTGACTGTAAAAGGAGATAATATACGTGCGGACGGACAGGGATTGGAGGCATCGGACAACTGTATGGGATTTAGCTGTTGTTATCCCAGGCGTACCCTCCCTGCCTGTATCCAAAGCCAAAATGTTTCTTGGATACCCTATTTTTGGACCGTGCTTGGGCTATTCCATGGCACAGGTGAGTCTCCCGCCCCTACTGATGCTGCTTTAATGCATCATCACCAACGGTGCGACCATTAAAATTAACAATTAATTTTCAGTTTATGTGGCTACAAACATACATATATTTCAGTGTGATTGAGTGTGAGTGAAAACAATGTAAATATGGAACAATAATAATTTATATAAAAACAAAATAAAGAAGGCTTGCCAACGGCCAATGCGGTTCTTTATGTGCGCCAACATGCAAGTATGCTTATGGCAAATAAATATGTATATAGATATATGTGTATGTGTATGAGAAAAATATGCGCGGTACAAAAATTTATAGAAAAATGTCTAACCAAATCCTAACGAGAGCTCTCGACGGTCATGGGCGCAATAGAAATATAAGAATACATATAAAACACTGCGCGCTACTGCAATTGGCAATCTTCATACAATATAAGTGTGTATAAGAGTGTGAACTTTTTTTTTTTGAATTAAATAGAGCGCCAAGCTCTGTTTAGGTGCCACTTTCTGCCTTGTTTTGGTTTTTATTATATCTGTATATATTCTTTCTTTTGTATTATCTTCCTTTTTTTTCTTTTGCAGAAACTTCAATGGGGCGGCGTGTGGGACCCTGCAGGCGCAGCCCATACAAACGACACGACGTAAGGCGCGCGGGATCTCTGCCTGATGTCGCTGCTCAACCGCGAACAATAGGCACGGCGCGTGGCCAAGGAACGGACTCACCGGCTTGTCTATCCTCCGCTGCTGATGGCGCAGACGGACGTGTCTGCTGTTGCGTTGTGGTGGCGCCGCTATTGCTGCTGCCACTTCTTGGGTGGGCGCCTTTGCTCCGGCTGCCACTGTCGTTGCTGCTGCTGCCGTTGAAAACGCTGGTGCTGGATCTGCTGCTGTCGTTGAAGACGCTGGTGCTGGATCTGCTGCTGTCGCTGTTGCTCCTGCTACGATGCAGCTCGTGCTGCTACTTATGACGGCCGCTGCAGCTGCTGTGTATGGTTCCACCGCTGTCCGAAAACTTGGCGATATGCCGGAAAATCTATATGCCAAGGAACAAAAGGCATTTAAGCACTGGTCGGCACATTTAAGTGGATATACAGGTATGTATACATCGGCATTAGTTCTGCCTTGCATCTATATCCTTATGCTCACCTTCGAACGGCTTCTGGTTCTTCCTTTCCTTTTTCAGGTTTCAGCACGGCCTCCAGTTCACCAAACGAAAACACTGCCTCGTGGGTCTGCACCGTCGCCCCAAAAACAGGAATGGCGTGTTGCGGCTTGCCTTTTATAGGCCGGATGTCGTATGCCTGCGGATTTTTACGTCCTTGCGCATCCGTTCATCACGGCCTTGACGTTTCCCCACTTTGAGGTGCCATCGGGACACAACCCTGCGCCTGCGTGGCTGCAGTTGCCACCATGGTGCCTCGCTCGGTACCGCTAGATGGCGCTGCAGTACCTTTGTAAATTCTTGGCGCCTTCCGTAGCGCTGCCACCTTTTATTCTTCGTGACCAGCCCGATGCAACACCACCGCAAATATCCAAGTGGGCGGACGCTCGTGCCCCGAAGTGATGTTTGCGCGCATCAAACGGCTGGTGTTGTTGGAGTCCTCTGCTTCGAGTCCGGCGTTGCCTCGGATGACTACTACCGCGGCGCCCAACGTAGGCCACACCCACTCTTGATCTTCAGGTGAGTAGCTCTGGCTGCATCCTCCTCCCTATATTCATCCATTCTGCCTTAGGACAGGCGTCACACTCGGATATCCTTTGCGTGGAATACCCCCAGCAAGTTCCCTTGCAAATCTTCCAGCTCGTATGCGTTGGTGCCGATGGATTTCCTTACGCGAGCTTTTAGAAATTTCCGCGCGAATTTCGCATTGAACGCGCGGCTGAAATCACTCAATGCAAAGTTTCGCCGGTATACCTCCTGGCCGGGCGCTAGTCTTAGCCGCCGCGCACGCCGGTTATAGCGAACGCTACTGCGCTCATACGCCGCATGCAATTGTGCCTGGATTTTCTGTTGCAACAGGGATTGCCTGTCTGCTGTACTCAACGCTGCGAATTCGTGCTCGTCTAAGGACCTTAATTTCCTCGCCAATCGGTACTGCGAACCGTGCAACATCATATGTCGGCCGAATAGTGCGAAAAAAGGCGTTACTCCAGTCGCAGAATGCACGCTGTTTCTGATGGCCACTTCAATTTCCGGAAGGTGTAGGTCCCACTCGCGGTGATCCTGCCCCAGATACGCCCGTATCGCGGACAGTATAGCCCGGTTCACCCTTTCGGACGCGTTGCTTTGCGGCGAATACACCGGTGTCCGCAGATGCTTAACACCGTAGCCCTCCATCATGTCTATAAACTGCTTGGACGTGAATTGCTTACCATTATCGGAGTGTATGACTTCTGGAACGCCGAACGTATGGAACACTTCGTTCACCAAGAAGTCGACGACGCTCCGAGTGGTGGCCTCTCGCATCGCCTTCAGGAACGTGAATTTGGTGAAGTGATCTACCACTATGAATATGAAGGCGTGCCCCTTCCTTGATCGCGGATACTTGCCCAAGAAGTCTATGTATAACTTCTGGAACGGCCTCTCCGTGACGACTTCTGCACCAATTCCCACCTGCATCCCGTAATTGGTGGCTTTCGTCTCTTTGCAGACCACGCATTTTCGGACCACTTCAGCAACGTCTTTGGCCATTCCCGGCCAATAAAACTGCCGCCGCAACCAGGACAACGTCTTCAACACTCCTCCATGCGTTGACGCTTCGGTATGGGCCTTCGATATAAGCATGCCGGTTAGCGCACGCGGAACCCACAGTTTCCACACACTGCCTTCGAGCTGATCTTCTAGCCGATTGAAGGATGTCTTTTTGTAGATCACCCCGTTTTCAATTTTTAAATCAGGTAATTTATCTTTTTGACTTTGAATTTCGCTAATCAGCTCCCGATACTCCTCTGATTCGAATTCTGCGGTTTCTATACCCAACAGGTCTCCTGGGAAGAAATCCAACTCCTCTAAAGTTTCGGCTTCGGTGCTTCTGGACAGCATATCCGCCACGATGTTGTCGGAGCCCTTCCGGTGCGTGATTTCAAAGTCGAAGCCCTGGAGCAGCAACGACCAACGAGCCAATCGCCCGGACAAATCCTTCATGGACATCAGCCATTTCAAACTGGCGTGATCGGTTATGACTGTGAATGGCATCATTTCGATGTATGGCCGGAATTTTTGTATCGCCAATACCGCCGCCAAGCACTCCTTCTCGGTCACCGAGTAGTTCACCTGGTGCTTGTTCATCTTGGCAGAAAAGAACGCAATGGGCCTCTCGTTTCCCTGCAAATCCACCTGGAATAATACGGCTCCGACGCCAATATGGGATGCGTCACATTGTACAAAAAATGGGCGTGAAAAATCCGCGTGTACCAGCACTGGCGCAGATGTGAGCGCCTTCTTCAACGCCTCAAATGCTGCAATCGCTTCGCCACCGAGTGAGAACCTACCTCCCGATCGCTTTTTCAAAGCCTCGGTGAGCGGAGCCGCTAAGGTGGCAAAATCTTTAATAAATCGCCTGTACCACCCGGCGGTTCCTAAGAAAGCTCGAACCTCCTTTACGGACCTTGGCACCTGTATGCGCTGTATCGCCTGCACCCGTTCTGGATCTGTTCGAAGCACGCCGCCGCCCACGATAAATCCCAGGTATTTCAACGTTTTAAAGCAAAACTTCGACTTTCGTAACCCTATCGTCAGGTTTGCCTTCTTGAGGCATTCAGCTACTCTCTTCAGGTACTCCAAGTGCGTATCAAAATCAGCCGCGAAGACTACCAAATCGTCTAGATATACTTTAACGTTGGACCTCAGTTCATTCGGTATGACCTTGTCCATCAGCCGGCACAACCTTTGAGCGGCGTTACACAACCCGAAAGGCATCATGCGGAATTGGTACAACGGTCGCCCTGGTACCGTAAACGCAGTGCACCTTCTACTGGACTCCTCCAACTCCACCTGCCAAAACGCAAATTTCAGGTCCACACTGGAAATATAATATGTCTGATCGATTCCAGATAGGATTCCCTCCACGCATGGTAGCGGATAGGCATCTTTGACTGTCAGTTTGTTCAACTTGCGGGCATCGAGGCAAAAGCGGTTCTTGCCCGGCCGTCGCACTATGGTGGTGCGGTTACTCCACGGACTATCGCTTACCTCGATGACGCCAAGCGCCAGCATGCTGTCCACCTCATCCCACACAATCTTCTGCATAGCGGGTGATAGAGGGTAGTGCCTGTCTTTCACTGGCTCTGCTCCGCTGACCAATTCAATTCGGTGAGTCTCCAAAGTAGTCTTGCCTAATCCCGCTTCTTCGAAGGTTAAAAATTCTTTTTTTACTTGTTCCAATTGCAGCTTTTGTTGTTCATTCAATTTCCACATATCTGGTTCAGGCCTTACTTCATCCTGGTCCGCATAATGCGCCACTCTATCAGCTAGCAATTCATCGAGGACAAGTCTTTTAACGGCTGGCTTTTCTGGAGGAATTAATAGTGGTGCCAAGTTAAACAGCCGCCAAAAGTCGATACCGAAATACGCGTTCTGTTCGAGTGATGGGCATACGTAAAATTCCACTTCTTTGGCCTCTTCTCGATACACCACTGGTAAACGCACTCGTCCAATTACGGCTCTGTCTTCACCGCCTGCTGTTTTAATTATCGAAATGTAATTTCTGGGCACCATGCCAATCTCTTTCAGCAGTTCCAGACTGCCCTTGCCTAGCACGCTTACCGAGGCCCCGGTATCCAGCAGACCGCGTAGCACATGGCCTCGTACCAGTACTTCGGCAAAAATCCTCGGATCTGCTGCTCCTTCGCGTCGCACTGCCTCGGCTACCAGCTTCTTCGTCTGCCTTCTCCCTCGGAATCGTGCTCGGGCCTTTTTAACTTTGGCTGTCACCATCCTCATCCCATCTAACTGATGTTGGGCAAAAATTCTATTACGCGCCTCCAGATATGCCCGCATCTTTTCCTCGTACGGTAAAAATTTCAACTTATTACTATATGGGGTATTTTTCTTATGAAATTCTTCTTTCAGGACCGCTCCGCTGTCATCCTGGTGGGCACCTGTGTCGAGCGCGATTCGCCCACTTGCTCCGCACTCCGACGGCCGTTTCCCGTGCAATCGGGACAGGTTGGACTATAGGTGTCGGGCCTGCCACACCTATAACAGAAGACGCGCCTTTCCGGTGACATGCAGTCGCGGAAACTATGGCCGGCTTGTCTGCAGTTCCAGCAAACTAACGCCCGTTGCGGACGCCTTGCCAAACGCGCCTCTTCAACTACGCCGAAATCCGCCGACTCCTCGCCGTTAGTGTCGTCGACCAACTCCTCCACTGCCGGTGGACGGTTTCCGCCACTAAAACGTGTGCCGCTGCGAGTTGGGAACACGCCTTCCCGCCGCTGGACCATAGCTTCCACCTCTACGCATTCGTCACGTAAGTGGTCTACCGTGTACACGCGCATCGCATACACATAACGAGCTAGTTCTATTTTTAATCCTTTTTTTATATATTTCATCATCTCGTTTTCAGATGGTGCTGTGTGGAGACGCGACGCCAGTTTCCTCATGGCATGGAAGTACTCCTCAACGCTTTCGCTTGCCTTCTGCCGTCTTTCGCGCAATTGACGCATGCGCTCGAATTCATCGGCGGCGCCTTTAAAACGGGACAGCATGCTCCGTTTTAGTTCTGGCCAGCTGTCTGCCCGGTGGTCCCTGACGTACTGCCAGTACCACTCGCGAGCGTGCCCAGTTACTAACAGATGGAAACTGTTTAATACTTCGGACCATGCGCAGCGACACTGCCTCTGAAGGAACTCGACCTGGAAAACGAAGTCTTCAACAGCCATTTTTTCCTTATCGCCGCTGAAAACGATGTCCCACTTTTCGACGCGGCACCATCCGGATCTGCCATTCGCCGCTACATACGGAGGAGGCGGGTCCAGCTGACCACTCCCATCGTAACGCCTGTTGCCTCTTCGACGGGCCGACTGTGCTGCGGGATTTTGCCAATTTCGAGCTGTGTTGCTGCTATTGCCAGCTCCACTGGAGGAATTAGCTGCCGCTGGCCTTGCTACTGGACGCGAAGTTCCTCTTGCTGGTGTTAGAGGTTCAGCCTGGTATTGATGCGGCCGTTTTGGCACCGCACCCCGATTCTGGCTGACTGGCGGTTGCCATGCTCCATTTGCAGCTGAATCGCCGCTATTCGCTCGCGGTTGCAAAACTTCTTTCAACGCGCCCATCAAGTCTTGAAACCCCATTCGGATTTCCTCCTGCAACACTTTGTTGATACCCTCTTTTTGCGATTGGCGGTATGTTTCGTTCGCCTGGGCCACTGCTGCTTCTACCACCGACGCGACTACTGGCTCGGCGTCCCAGTGTACTGCTGGTGCTATGGACGGCCTCGGAGGAGTGTGCATGAGGCCACCGGTGGAAAAACCTACGGCTCCTTCTAGGTGTTCCTCCAGCACTGGATCATCATTTCTGGCAGTTCTCGACCTTGTGTTATACGCCCGCGCAGAATCCTTCTCCATTTCAATCCAAAAAAAATACGCTCTGTTTTTTTTATAATATTTATTTATATTTTGGATTATGAATTTGTTCAGCTTTCAAGCAGGCCCCGAAGAAAAAATCGTATTAATTGGATAATTGTATATATGTATGTATTCCAAACAATGAAAATGTTTGCAAACGCCCAAAACAACAAAAACAAATGGGCAAGAAAATATATGTACGCTGAATATGTATGATGGATAAATAAATAAATAAATAGGTACAACAATAAATAGATAAATATGTGAATTGGAATAAATAAATATGAATATAGTAGTAAAAATAAAAAAAACAAATCTTTAAATAAATTCACGTCCAACTTTGCACGGAAACCAAAAAAAAAATATATACGCTCAACCACAAGACAAATGTAACATATGTATGTATATGCACCAAACGTAACCAAAAAGACCTAATAAAATGTAAGCAATAAACAAACAAATTTTCTTTTAAACTTCTGTATATAGGGGCTGAGACTCACACTCCGCCGGAACCCAAACACGGCTCCTATAATATCTACGCCTGTACAGCTGCCCTACGCCACAATTCTGCAATATCTGTTCGCTGCTACATTTATCGCCTTGACGGCGATGAACGACAGCCAACAAATTAAATGGTTGCTTCTTGACACCCAATTCTGTTTTGTGCACCATCTGCTCTGGCTCACCGTGCGTAGCGGTGCATCGCAGGCGACTTTCCTAGTCATCCTGGGCCACCGGTACTCTACGTCCACCAGGCAAACACGATGACACCACAGCGACAGTGCACCAACGAATTGACGCAAGAAATACAACAAAAACACTGAAACGAAATAACAAAAAAAACGCGCATTGGAATCCCCCCATAGTACCCCTTGCCTAGCGTCGTTCCAAATGGCAGTCGCAAACGAAGGGCTCATACTCGCACCTTCGTGACTTACTGTCCATGTCACACACGCTTGCAGTTGGTGCTATAAGGGATTCCGTCCCTACCATACCGATCGTCGGCCCCTAGCCATCGGCTTAATTTATTTTTTTCCTATCTAAATTCTCAGCCTGCGTACGGCGGCTGCCTAGACTCCTCCCCAAACGTGGTACAGGGCCCTAAACAACTCCACCTACTCCTTGGCATTAAAAATTCAAACATCCAAATTGGGCGCCATATTGTTACGACTACGCTTTTCCTCTTGGGCAACGCCGGCTGGCTCATCGGAATTCTCCTTGGGTGTGTGGTTCCAACCCTATGCCCGCGTGAGTCGTACAATAACCGATAACACGGTTCCTCCATCGATAAACAAAATGCCATCACTACAATAAATTCGACGCGCAATATACAAAACCGAATTCAAAACGTAAACAAACCAAAAAAACTAACATAAACTAAAAGAAACGTACTGCGACAAGAAAACAAATAAACGGATAACTCCCTCAAGCCATCCGTACGAATACGGGTGACTGTAAAAGGAGATAATATACGTGCGGACGGACAGGGATTGGAGGCATCGGACAACTGTATGGGATTTAGCTGTTGTTATCCCAGGCGTACCCTCCCTGCCTGTATCCAAAGCCAAAATGTTTCTTGGATACCCTATTTTTGGACCGTGCTTGGGCTATTCCATGGCACAGGTGAGTCTCCCGCCCCTACTGATGCTGCTTTAATGCATCATCACCAACGGTGCGACCATTAAAATTAACAATTAATTTTCAGTTTATGTGGCTACAAACATACATATATTTCAGTGTGATTGAGTGTGAGTGAAAACAATGTAAATATGGAACAATAATAATTTATATAAAAACAAAATAAAGAAGGCTTGCCAACGGCCAATGCGGTTCTTTATGTGCGCCAACATGCAAGTATGCTTATGGCAAATAAATATGTATATAGATATATGTGTATGTGTATGAGAAAAATATGCGCGGTACAAAAATTTATAGAAAAATGTCTAACCAAATCCTAACGAGAGCTCTCGACGGTCATGGGCGCAATAGAAATATAAGAATACATATAAAACACTGCGCGCTACTGCAATTGGCAATCTTCATACAATATAAGTGTGTATAAGAGTGTGAACTTTTTTTTTTTGAATTAAATAGAGCGCCAAGCTCTGTTTAGGTGCCACTTTCTGCCTTGTTTTGGTTTTTATTATATCTGTATATATTCTTTCTTTTGTATTATCTTCCTTTTTTTTCTTTTGCAGAAACTTCAATGGGGCGGCGTGTGGGACCCTGCAGGCGCAGCCCATACAAACGACACGACGTAAGGCGCGCGGGATCTCTGCCTGATGTCGCTGCTCAACCGCGAACAATAGGCACGGCGCGTGGCCAAGGAACGGACTCACCGGCTTGTCTATCCTCCGCTGCTGATGGCGCAGACGGACGTGTCTGCTGTTGCGTTGTGGTGGCGCCGCTATTGCTGCTGCCACTTCTTGGGTGGGCGCCTTTGCTCCGGCTGCCACTGTCGTTGCTGCTGCTGCCGTTGAAAACGCTGGTGCTGGATCTGCTGCTGTCGTTGAAGACGCTGGTGCTGGATCTGCTGCTGTCGCTGTTGCTCCTGCTACGATGCAGCTCGTGCTGCTACTTATGACGGCCGCTGCAGCTGCTGTGTATGGTTCCACCGCTGTCCGAAAACTTGGCGATATGCCGGAAAATCTATATGCCAAGGAACAAAAGGCATTTAAGCACTGGTCGGCACATTTAAGTGGATATACAGGTATGTATACATCGGCATTAGTTCTGCCTTGCATCTATATCCTTATGCTCACCTTCGAACGGCTTCTGGTTCTTCCTTTCCTTTTTCAGGTTTCAGCACGGCCTCCAGTTCACCAAACGAAAACACTGCCTCGTGGGTCTGCACCGTCGCCCCAAAAACAGGAATGGCGTGTTGCGGCTTGCCTTTTATAGGCCGGATGTCGTATGCCTGCGGATTTTTACGTCCTTGCGCATCCGTTCATCACGGCCTTGACGTTTCCCCACTTTGAGGTGCCATCGGGACACAACCCTGCGCCTGCGTGGCTGCAGTTGCCACCATGGTGCCTCGCTCGGTACCGCTAGATGGCGCTGCAGTACCTTTGTAAATTCTTGGCGCCTTCCGTAGCGCTGCCACCTTTTATTCTTCGTGACCAGCCCGATGCAACAGCCTTAAGGCAAATAATTGCTGGAATGACAAGGTTCCTTGTACAGACAACAATAACTTTTAGTAAGCATCGCAATATGCACATTTATTAAAGATTAAATTTTTTACATGTTTGATTCAAAATTGTACTTCGCGTTTTTAATTAATATATTTCATAAGCCGGTGCGGCAGCACTGACTGCAACCCCGCAGCGCTGCCAACTTGCGCAAGGATACGAGGGCTGCATAACAAGCAATACTTTTTGCAATCGTTTGGAAGATGGGACATGTTTTCACTTTAACTTGTAATTTATTATTTAATTAATTAAAGTCTACGTTTAATTAACTAATTTTAAGCGCAAAGTTCACACATCCACATTGAGAAAGGTGAGTAATGACTGCTGACCTGCAAATGTACAGCCGGTTCGTCCCAAAAGTATTTTGTGTGTATCGGTTGGGGCTGAGGCTGCCGCTGGTTGGCATTTTTTCTAAAATGTTGGGGTACAGCCACGGACCGTGGCTGATCAAAATCAATAATGCTGGAAAATTAATACAAATGTTTTTACTGCAGCAACGGGAAGAGTATGTCAAAACGCACAGCCGACGAGGCAACGGGCAGTGGTGGTGGCAGCTGCTTGGTGGCAGCCGCCGCCGCCGGCCAACCACCGATCAAAAAGGTTCACTTCGAGCCGCATTTGATCGGGCCCGTGTCGACGCTGGAGGAGATGGACATCAAGGTGCTTGAGTTCCAGAATAAGAAGCTGGCGCAGCGCATTGAGCAGCGCATGCGAACAGAGGCCGAACTGCGGCATCGGATCGAGCAGCTGGAGAAACGTCAGACCCAGGACGATGCGGTGTTGAATGTTGTGAATCGGTATTGGAATCAGCTTAACGAGGATATACGCGTGCTGTTGCAGCGCTTCGACGCTGAGACGGCCGACGAGCTGGAGAACAAAAATGAGAACGAGGTGACGACTTCGTTTCTCACACAACTCTCCACCTGGGACAAAGAGGAGCTGGACGAGAAGCTGGCGAATCGTGTGCAGGTCTCGAAGCGGGCTGTGGCAAAAATTGTGCAGGTTATTGATAGGTTAATGCAGCGTAATGAGAAGATAACAAATGTACTGAAAGGTGAAGGTGGTGTGGGCGGTGCTTCGTCGACGGCGGCCGCGGCTGCTGGTGGCGAGGAGGAGTCGGGTGCGGATGCGGATGCTTCAAGTGCTGGCGCACACGCCATTGATGATACACTGAAGCAGACACACATTGAGATTATGACAGAGAATCGCAATTTGCAAAATCTGAACACATCTCTGCACGAAAAGTTCCATACCATGTCCTTGAAAATGAAGGAATACCAGGATGCACTGACGGCAAAGGAGACAGAAAACGCCGAGCTGAAGAATCAAATCGACGAACTGCAATACGATCTGGAGAAAATACATTGTCGCAACGACAAGCTGGAGAATCATTTGGCCGAGGCGATCGAGAAACTAAAGGCCTATCATCAGATCTATGGCGATCCCAACAAAAGCACCAGCAGCGCCAAAGTACAGAGTACAGGCGGAAGTGCGACAACCAGCGTGAACAGCCAACTACTGGAGGAACTGCAAAAGGAGCTGGAGGAGTACAGGGAGCTGGCAAACAATCGCCTGCAAGAGCTGGATAAGCTACACGCCACGCATCGGGAGACCCTGAAAGAGGTGGAGAAGCTTAAAATGGATGTGAGTGACGCGTTTCCTGTATGTTATAAAAATCTAAATGTGTGAGTGATTTATGTTTTTTGCAGATACGTCAGCTGCCCGAGTCGGTCATTGTGGAAACCACCGAATACAAGTGTCTGCAGTCGCAGTTTTCCGTGCTCTACAACGAGTCCATGCAGATTAAGACGATGCTTGACGAGACGCGCAATCAGCTGCAGACCAGCAAGAATCAGCACCTGCGCCAGATCGAGGTGATGGAGAGCGAGGAGCTGATCGCACAGAAAAAGGTGCGCAGCGAGATGATACAAATGGAGGATGTCCTGGCGCTCATACGCAAGGAGTACGAGGCGTTGCGCATCGAATTCGAGCAGAACATGGCCGCCAACGAGCAGACGGCGCCCATCAATCGCGAGATGCGACACCTCATCACATCGCTGCAGAACCACAATGGTCAGCTGAAGGGGGAGGTGCAGCGCTACAAGCGGAAGTATAAGGACACCTCTACGGATAACGTTAAGTTGCGCAAGGAGCTGGACGAAGCACTGGCCAAGCTGGAGGGCAACAAACAACAGCAAGCCGCAGGCGCTGCCGCTGGCGAGGAAGTCAAACAGGAAAATGCCACCAACGTTAAGGAGGAAAATGCAAATAGTGTGGCCTCCAGTGGCGTCTCAAGTATGACCAGCACGGGCAGTGATCCCAATATTGCCATCAAGGAGGAAAACTCGGCATCGGCGGACGACGAGCTGGATGATGAATGCAACGCGAAGGATACTAAGGATGGCATCAAGCAAGAAAAGATGAATGCCAGCGAAGTTGCTGCTACGGCAGCTGCAGAGAAAAAGGACTCGCCCGGACCGACGAATGCATCCACGTCGGCAGCAAACGCCACCAATACGGCGACTGTTAAAACCGAAAAGGACTCCAAAGAAGGCGTCAAAACCAAAGACGTCAAGGTGTTGGAAAGCGAAACAGTGCGAGATCTAAAGGCGCAGCTGAAGTGAGTACAGAATTTAATTATAAATAATCAATTCTAATCTGTCTGTTCAAACACACAGAAAAGCGCTGAACGATCAGAAGGAAATGAAACTGCTGCTGGATATGTATAAGGGAGTATCGAAGGATCAGCGCGACAAAGTGCAGCTGATGGCCACCGAGAAGAAATTGCGCTCCGAAATTGAGGAGTTGCGCCAGCAGCTGAAAAAGTTGCAGGAGAGCAAACGGGAGGAGCGCAAAAAGCTGGCCGACGAGGAGGCGTTGCGAAAAATCAAGCAGCTGCAGGAGCAAACGTACGAGCTGCAGAAGCAGGTGGCCAACCACAAGCCGCCGGAGAATGCGTGGGGCGCTGCTGCCGGCATTGGCAATTATACGCGACCCTTTGTTGGCTCCCATGAGGAAGAGGCGCTGCTCAACGAGATGGAGGTGACGGGACAGGCTTTCGAGGACATGCAGGAGCAAAACTCCCGTCTCATACAGCAGCTGCGCGAGAAGGACGATGCCAATTTCAAGCTGATGTCTGAACGCATCAAAGCGAACCAGCTGCACAAGTTGCTGCGCGAGGAGAAAACCGTGCTGGAGGATCAAATAACCACGGCCACAACACAAATTGAGGCGATGCATGTGGTGCTGCGCAAGCTGGAGGAGAAGGAGCGCAGTCTGCAGGCCACAGTGGCGTCCATTGAGAAGGAGCTGATGTTGCGGCAACAAGCGATGGAGATGCACAAACGCAAGGCCATCGAATCGGCACAGTCGGCCGCCGATCTGAAGCTGCATTTGGAAAAGTATCATGCGCAGATGAAGGAAGCGCAACAGGTGGTGGCCGAGAAGACCAGCTCACTGGAGGCGGAGGCCTACAAGACGAAGCGACTGCAGGAGGAGCTCGCCCAGTTCAAGCGCAAGGCCGAGCGTATGAAGAAGATGGAAATGTCCGGCACAACCATCGACGAGGTGATGATTGAGGAGATACGCGAGTACAAGGAGACGCTAACATGTCCCTCCTGTAAGGTGAAGCGCAAGGATGCTGTGCTCTCCAAATGCTTTCACGTCTTCTGCTATGACTGTTTGCGGACGCGGTACGAGACGCGGCAACGCAAATGCCCCAAATGTAATTGCGCCTTCGGGGCCAATGATTATCACAGATTATATCTGCAGTAAACACATTCGAAGTCGAAGCAGCATCGACAGCAACATCCAGAGCAACAAAAAGCAGCTGCTAACCAGCCAACTATGTAATTCTGTTCTACAACTAATCATTTTTTTATTTTAACATTCGTTTTAAGTGGCCTCCGCCTGGCAATATCGTGAACCGATTTTATATATCGCCAAGCATCTCAATACGAGTTTCGGGAATAATTGTGTTTCCCGTCTTTTATGTAGCTTCTAGATTATGTAAATCAAACTATTGTACGAATAGAAGTTTTAAATGATTATGAAAACTACCTTTTACAATTATGAACACACGCGGCTATACATATTTAAATAAATAAATGGCTAAAATAACAAATCTCTTGCGCTAATCTATTCTCCTGTGGGCAGCCATTCATTTTTGCATGCGCTCGTTTAATTTATTAATTTCGAAATGTGGGATCAGTATTATGGATTTAAGTTATGAAAAGCATTCATAAGCATTTCAATACTTCCCGCAAATGATTTCCATACTATGTAAATGCGTTTAATCCGATGAAATGTTGGCAATCAAAAAAAAAATGCTTATTGCTCAGGTAAGATATGGTTTCAGAATGCTAGGACTAGTTTATGATCAGAAACATTCGGTGGTTGTGGCACTTGCGCAGCTGAATTCTATTGTTAACTGATTTTTATACCATTTGCCCAAAGGGTATACAGTCGACTCTCGTTAATTCGAACCTCTCTATAATTCAAAGTTATCACGGCTTCCCTACAAAATCTCTTTATATTTCGAACTAAATCAATACATTTGTGTGCGCTTGGTAATTCGAATTAAAAAATCATTGCTATATAACAAAACGACGCGCTAATTCGAAATTATCGGCGTCCAACACTCGACAATTGAATATTGCACAGAGAAAGAGGCGGAAAGATTGTATGTAAGTACTTTTTTGCGACAAGTTCAAATTTGTGTCAATCGAAATCGACTTCTGCGCATCTAACGGCCACCGCTCAAGATCCGTCCCGGTAAGTGTAGACTAGCTTTTGTTTTTGTTATGATTAATTTGGCTATTTGACACACACTTCACACGAATTGGTTTGTTTAGTTATAATTCAGTTACTGTTACTCTTTTGACATTGTTATAGAATAGCAGTTAATAAATAATTATTGATCAACACTTAATAGTTCGAAGTTTTATTGATTTTTTCTCACAAATTCCGTACCATTTGATATTTCAAACGGTGTGGGGGAAAGGCGGGAGTGTGCCTTTTGCCCCCTAAAAAAAAATTTGCCCCATTAAAGTGCATTATTATGACGCACTATTTCGCTTTAAAATGGAACTGAATTAGATTTGTTGAAGTTTTTTCATTGATCATATGCATACATTATTTTTTAAAGGCATCGTGCATTATTTAAAAAAATATTTTAATTTTTAAATATGAGCAATAAGCTCCCGTGGGCTTACTTTTTCTTTGAAGATTGGACATCGTGCTCTCTTCCGTAGGATTGAGGATATGCAGGATTTGCGGATTTGTCCATATGGATCAAGGCACACAAATCACAACCTGTGGCTTTTCTTCCTTGGAGGTATTGCGTTGTGTGGACGTGCTTAGCTATTAGTCTATCTTGTACTTCTTTTAGTCATCCCTGGAGTTATCACGCTTAGGCTCCCAGTTAAATCATGATTTATATTTAATTCATTCCGTTTTTAAAAAAAGCTGCAATGCAGAATTTTTACGGCTGGTCGTGTTTTTTGCAGTTCTGCGACTATTTTGTTGGTTTTTAAGCCGTAAATGAATGGCTCTTGTATCGAGGATTCCTCCTGCAGCTAATATTTTAATTTATGCATTTTCCATTTATTATTTGTTCTTTTGCCTTGGAAAATTATAATATTTCTTTAATCTAGCTTAGTTCAAGTATTTACAAAGTTGAGACTTAGTCCATGTATCTGAAAAATGTGTTTATAATATTCGTTTAAAATTTGGATAATATTAATATATTTAATATTTTTAAATTATGCGTTTTTTATAAATTTTATACTGCTTCTTCATACCGCTTGGTCGCAGTGCTACCCAATTCCACTGCTTACTTTCTCACTTTCCCCACTGCTCAGCGATGTGGCATCACCGACTATTTGAGTTCGGTTCCACACTGTGGATTTCAAAAGCAGTTGCTTCAAGTCGTTTGGCGCGTGCGGGTGTGCCGCTCGTTATTTTTCGTTCAGCCGCCGGTTGCTGCATTATGTGTGTGTGTTAGTGTGAGTGTGTTGAACGGGTTTTCCTTGTGGGCCTTTGAATTTTTGCAAATTACACAAAATTAAAAAGTAATGCAAAATTGTGGTCCTTTAAATTAGTGCCAGCGAACCCTGCTTGGCGAAAAGTGAAATCCTTAAGGCAGCATTTTTAATCTACAGTTTCAACAACAATTGATTTTTCGCGTCTTCTGTGGCACGACGGCGTGCGCGTTTGGGTGTGTGTGTGTGTGTGTTTGTGTGCGAGTCCTGCGACGACCTTCGGCGTATGCCGTTCAAATATAAAACCGAATTTCAGTTTGCCAGTTATAACTGGTAATACGCACACACGACATACAAAGAAAACAAAAGCCACTGCCTGATCTAAACGGGTCGGGTCCTGACTGCAGGAAGTTGCCGCCTGAGCTGCTGTTGCAGCTGCCGTTGCCGCTGCCGACGCCGCGTGTTTTGTTTTTGTTGTTGTTGCTTGTTGCTCCGCTCAATCCGCCTCATCTGACCTGGCGAGAGAGCGCAGGAAGAATGAACAGTTAATCGCGCGCGCGTGTGTACTCGTATGTGTGATGGACTGCGTGTTTGTGCATTCAATTTGCACAAAATAAAACGTTCATAATTTGCAATTCCGCCCGTCCGCAAACAAATAAAATTGCCATCCATTTTAGTGCCGTCTCGCCGCCTCAGCTACACCGTCAGCTTCGCCATCAGCATTTCGTGAGTGCAAAATAATTATAGAATTATCAGCCATTGCTTATAACTTCAACTAAAGTCGCTCAGAAATGTGCGTGAACGACTCTGAAAAACACCCTACAATTTTCGAGCCAACATTAAATTGTTCATATTTTTCATTCGACAATGCACTTTTTTTTAAAATCTTCTTTTGTAGAAATTTATTTTCTTAATTTAATGGAAACCTAGAAAAAATTCACCCACATTTTTGACGGCTTTCTAAATGCAAAGTTACGGGCAGACATGCTAATTATTTGCACACAAATTTTTTTGTTATTTTACAATTATGCATTGCAAATAAATTATTAAAGACGGTTGTTGTTGCCGAAAACTAGTATTATTGATAGTTTTAAATGAAAGAACATGTTGAAAATCAGATATCTAAAATAATTTACAAATTTAAGAAGAAATTATTTGCCTAAGAAAAATATTACTTTTAATAGAAAATTTGTTTATGTTCTTAGTCAGAATCTTATTCAAAATTATAAAGCTAATTACTTAAGTCTAAGATTTACGAAATTCAATTTTGGGTTTACAAACTGATTAACATTTTCGAAATAAATTTGTGAAAAATTGAAAATTGTTATCAAATTTAATATGAGTTCTTATGTGAGAGGAAACAAACTATGTAGTCCTTTTTCGAACTTAGCAGAACCTGGAGTAATGTCGAATATGAATTAATTTTTAATTGATTATATTTAAACTCTACCCATTCGTTTATTATTCGTGATTTATTACTTCGTACTTCTTTGTATATACCCGGCAATTGCAATCATATTTTTATACTCTACAAAATGGCAAATAATTTACTAACTTATTCTCTAATAGATTTTTTTAAATAAATAAAGCAAATGATCTTTTTAAATTCGATTCGTGATCAAGAATATCACGCCACGCCTCCTTCTCTGTTTAACATTCGCAATAAATCTTAAAGGCATTTGTTAGAGGGTGTACAAAACACGCACACATTTGTAAATACAGCTCAAATTTGTTTGTGTGTGTGTGTGTGTGAAGAGAGAGAATGTGAGCGTGTGGGGAGCCTCTGACATTTTCATCAGCAACGCCACACCCGTACCCCCCTCATAGCAGCAGCAGCCGCACACGTTGTGACGCTCTCTGCAGGAACAACAACCAAAAACAACTTCAAAAGCGGCTGCAACAACAACAACACCTACTCGCCTGTAGTTGGCACAATTTCCCTCTTCTTGTTGTTGCTGCTGCTGCGGCGGCTGCTCTCTGTGGGTGAGTAGTAAAAACAACAATAACAATAAAGTACAATTTTGCGGGTAGAAAGTTGTTATTGAATATGCGACCATAGAGGCGTAGGAGAGAGAAGAGATGGGTTGAGATAAAAAGAGGCGGTGGGGCAATGTTATTAGTAGGCGGCACAGCCAAAGAAGTGAAGTCAACTGAAATAAGAGAAGGAGAGAGAGGGAGTAAGAGGGAGAGCGTGGCGTCAAATTGTCGTCACTGACGTTGTCGTTGATTTTGTCCTGCCACCCCCTCCCTCCTTTCGCAATCTACCAGGCATTAATGAATGGCTTTTGCGCATTGTTTGCTCAGTTTAAAGGTCAAGCGATGTCGCGCTAAAAAGTTGGGACGAGCCAAGCCCCAAACTGCATTTCCGTCTGTTTACATAGGGAGTTGGGCCGGCTTGGGCCGAACTAGTTCCAATGACGGAAGTATTTCAAGGAACTACTGTACTAGTTCTTTGGGCTTAGTGCATATCGTTCCTGCAGTCAATTATTTCGTTCAATGAACGATTTATAAGAGTTTCAACGAACACTATTTGGGAAGAAAGTCGGATCCATAAGATCATCTCCTAAAACTCTAGGACGGCTTAATTTTTCTTCATACCGAGGCTTTTTTTGAAGAACCATTTTGGTCCAGAATGATATAATATTTGAATTAAATTCAATTGAAGAACGGAAGAAGAAATCATGTAAACGAGCCTTGACTCTCAAAATGTATGTTATTAATCCAGTAAAGTTATACTGAAGAATATAGAGAGGTATTCTATATAAGATGTTATTTTGGGCATTTAGGACAACGCCTTTATTATATTCCTATTGTAGACTCAAGCTTTCTTTCATAAATCCGGTTTCCATTTATTTTCTTTCGCATGTTTTAACTTGTTTAGTCAATAAAAAAAAGTTAGAACCATGCGATTAGTGAATAATGTAATCAATAAAAAATAAATTGTAATAATTTGATAATGTATCGATGTCGATATTCATATATTTCCATAATAAAAACCACACAAATACATACACACATCTATCCATACATATATACACCTGTACTACGTATACGTATACACATATGTAAATCTATCGTAACTTCATTTAAGTTGCATGAACTAATTGGCTTCGTTTTATTTGCTCGAAAGTCTGTGCAATAACAACAACAACTTTTCTAATAATAATCATAAGAAAGAAAAACAACAACAAACTACAAAACGCAACAGTCAGGAAAAGCGCAATTTGATTTAAGCTTGTCAGTCAGTCAGTCAGTTGGCCACACGGACAGACAATTACCATATTCATGAGCCGATTAGAGAGAAATTAAGAGTTGCTCCGTATTGTGGCGGATGCGGACATGCGGACCGTTTAAATGCGTTTTAATAATAGATGTTACAATTGGTCTTAAAGTAATCTTTAACAATCGTTCGGAAACTTCAGGAAAATGCTAATTGAGCTCAATCGACGCATTTCCCCATTTGAGTGCTTCAGAAAATGTAAAGCGACAAATTATATAACAAATTGTTGTTAGTTGAAAAAATACAGATATGCATATTTTACTTGAAGTGTAGAAGAATAAGATACTTTTATTTGTTTATCTAACCGAATAAAAATAGTTATGAGCAAGGCTGGGTTCTGGCTTGTCATTCAAATGACGAACAAATTTAATGGCAGAGATTGGATATTAACGTCATTTTAATTGCATTATAATAATATAAAATTAGTAACCTTATATATATGAACATTATATGTGATATTGTAACTCCATGTGGAACCTGAAATCGTTTTAACCACATAAGCTATATTTACTAAATTTTAAAGATATTCGAACATTTAGTCGAATTTAGTTTAACAAATTTCCGTTGGGTGGTAAATAATAGGGTATTTGTATTGATAGAGTAGTGTTTCTGCCAAAACTACCTAAATAAACAGTTACTTTTCGAATTGTTGGAATCTTTTAAATTAAAAATCGAAATCAGGAATTTGAAACAAATGATAAAACCGTAAGCTTAATTTTGATAAACTTGCGTTAGCACATATGTATGTATCAGGAAATATAAGATTATTTACTACACCGTGATTGCTCTCGCTTTCAACACATTTCCGTTTCCCCATAAAAAACATTAATCAATAGGGTTTATCCGGAATCGAGCCGTTTGAAACAAGTAGTTGATATTTAATAAATAAGAACACTCCTTCAATTATAAGAAATCGAATTTAGTAGCTCTCAACATTTCGAGCTCTGCTTTTGCGAAAATGAATAAATTTGAACTATTTCCTGATTCCATTCAACACTTTATATTTCTCCCCAGTAGACATTTATCGATTGGGCTTCTCAAGAAAGAAGACCAGTTAGTCATTCAACCCATTGTTGGTCTTTCTTTTGCTAGAATTGTTTGCATTTTGTATTTGGACTTTCATTTGTATTGTTATCAGAACGATAGCAGACTTTGTGTGAGCATATATAGTATGTATATAGACTGACTTCAATTAATGAACGATCGCTGAATAATAATAAACACTAATAATCTGAATGACAAAAGCCGCCATGGCGTTCAATTCCATCGAAACTTGTTCTAAACGTGCGAATTTTAACAGCAAAAAAGCTGGCCCCGTTGATATCAACAAAAAACAATAATTGATGTACATATTTGTATATACTATACATATGTTTGTATATACGAGTGTGTGTGTGTTCATACACATAAATTAACTTCGAAGTGCTTTTTATTTTTTGTGCCAAAATCCAAGGTCAACTCGATAAAGTCACGCTGTGATTTGATTGCGATGGTTGGGCTCAGAAAACTTTGTCCGTTCTGCGGTCCGCGATTCCAAGTGTTTATGTGTGCGAGTATGGGGTTCATGTAATCCAACGTATCGTCTTACCCTACACAAAAGGATTGCAAGCATTAGATTACAAGATTACAAGCACTAGGAGGGGTCTAAACAATAACAGACATTGACAGACAATAGGCCCTGCTTTGTTCAAGGCAGAGGAGTAACGAGTTCATGACAATTATGGCCAAGTTGACACTGAAATTCGTCGAGCGAGACATGACGGCGACACGCCCTCAACCCCCTCCCTCCTCTGCCTCACAATCTCTGAGTCTGGCACACACGATTTGGCTTCGATTCAAGTTAAGATGTGTTCTTTTTTTTAAATTCGATCCATACATTATATCCGAAGTGTGAAAGGGGATACTTAAAGGTATGAATGTATGTAACAGGTATGACGACATGTTTTTCGGTCCCACTGTTTGTCTGTATGAACGGCGAGAACTTTTGAACCATAACAACAAGGGACACTAAACTTTGCGTATTTACTTTACTTATGTATAAGCGTATATACTTTATCACAAAACATTTAAAACGTCATTTCTTTATACAAGCTCCCATAGGAATGATAAGTCGAAAATCGCTTTTAGTGCCAACAACTTTTTTGTTTATCGCGATACTGTAACCAAATTGCATTTAAATAAGTTGTTTCAAATTTCTCACTATATTATGAAGTGTTGTTAAAATCGGAGCGCTATAACATATAGCTGCCATAGGACCGATCAGTGCGATCAATCTTAGCACCAGCAGTTTTTTTATTATACGCGATATTTTAACAAAACCTTTAGCTTATAGGGTTCTTATGATGCTTTACTATAATCTGAAATCTATTTCAAAAATCTGAGAGCTGTATCTTATAGCCGCCTACAAACTATAGGCTAAAAAATAATTCCCGGGAGCAAACAGTTT